ATAACCATCAGGTAAAAATACACAAACTAGGAACATAAGAGAGAACCCCTAACTTCTTTAAAACATGTAGTTATCATTCTAAAAGCACGATCTGACAGATCACTTCTGCTTCTTAGGCTGACTGAAAGCAGGCAGTGACAGGAAGCGTTCAGGTCTAGTCATACACGACAACTGAAAGCATCAACTGCAAAACAGCACCTTCCACATCATCAGTCCTCCCATGATGAAGGGGTTGAAGATGGTCAGGAAACAATAAACCGACGCTGGGTCAAAGCTGTATTACAAAGGGAAAGCATCAAGTAAATGACCAGGAGAGGAGAAACTAGAACACTCACAATTATGATGAGTTCATTTTAAGATGGTATAGGCCTATAATACGCTTTTTCTTATTTTTTCTTATGTTGAGTTTCCCCTAAGTCACACATGTTGTCTGTATGTACTGTTGAGGTGCAACAGTACATACTGACACCATGTATTTTCTCTTTGTGCTATATATAAAGTCCAGGCCATACCTGTTAATAGAAGCTATGTTTCCAGTGCCAAAGAAAGCTGTGATGATAAAAAATACCTGGAAAATTGTATGTTCAAGGAAAGCACTAAAAAGATCTACGTGACACAATTAAAGAAAAGAAAAAGTCTATTTATGACCATTGTTGCCGTGAGGATACAAAAAAGTAAGATCTTCTGATGTCATCCAACTTCAGATTTCGGATCTTGGCGATGTCAATGTTTGCAGAGAAATCAATGGTGTAGAGCTGAAAGGAGAAGAAAGTAAACACACATTTTATCATACAGTATGTATTCACCCATTCCATGACACGACCCAACACAAAATAATGCTGCTATATCTTAAGCTCTTTAAACCAGCTGTACAGATTGCAGATTTATTATGTGTTAGGTGTTAGATTTACATTGAAGGGAGGAGTAAAATAACCAAAATAATTGGATGTGAGTTTTGATTCTAATACCATACAATCCACACAGTCTCTAAAACATACATCTTGTCTGCTGGAGACACCCTGTGAAAGCATAGCTTCTTGTTCAATGTGGATCCACGTAAACATCAGCCAGGATAGTACAGGTGGAAACAAGGCCTCTGACCTGGGAGAAATAAAACACACACACATCAGAGACAGAGTAGAAACCTGTAGACAATCTAAAGACAGGGCAACTCTTTGAGGTTTTACTGTATATGTCTCACCCAGTGCTGAGCAGCAGGTATGTGGCAGTGAGTGAGAGGAATATGCTGAGGAGTCGATGGAAAAGTCGAGTGGAGCTTAACAACGGAACCACCATTGAAGACCCTCAAATTTAGGCCAAAATGAGAAAAAATGTATCACATAAAAAACCCTAACGTGACCCGATGCAATGTGCAATATTTGGCCTTGTGGTATCGTGGTCTCGTTACTCCTGTCCACCTACCTAACGTGGACCAGCTGATGATCTGGTTGAGAAGAGGCAGACCCTGTTTCTGCTGCAGACTGGAGTGTGTGAGCGATGGCACGTATGCACAGACAGCTACGTGCAGCATCTGTTGAGTTTTACAGGTAATTGTTTTGAATAAAAAAAAAATAAACCAGTACCACAAGTCACAGATATTTGTGATAAAGTTACCTGCATAATTAACTGCCTTCTGTCACCAGGTCGCAGTGAGTTTCTCTGCTGTGATGACCAGAGGTAACATGCTGACGTCAGTAGGGTGAGTAGACCTGAACATGTACTGATAAAAGAGAAGTGAGACTTTTGTTACGAATACAGTACTAACAACATGACAGTATATTTTTATTGCTGTTTTCTTAAACAAAGCTAAAATTGATTCAATCTATCTGATATTTAATATTTACACCAAAGAATTACTTTGAAAAGCTCCTTATTTCATAAGTAAATGGAAAAACCTCTCTATGACTGACCTAACTGTTTTTGTGGTTTTGATTTGCTTTTCTGATAAATGTACGCAAATACTCACACCAGATGTATGACAGGGTCCCTACCCACAACGGGCATCAGAGGGAAGAAAGCCAAAAGCACGCAGCCCACAAACCAACTCACTGAGCACGCCTACATGTGGACAGAAACAGGTTTTAAAAAATCTATGAAGTTAAAAACCGCATTTGTGTCACTTCCTTAAATAATCATACTTAAACAAAACTTAAATTAGTAATTTTATTTTCCACTACCTAATTACTCCATATTAAAATAAAGAGACACTCAGAAATGTAAGTTAACAACAATAAAAAAACCTACAATAAAAAAAACACTCAACTACCAAGTGTTTTTAAGCTATAAAATCGTCCTATGTGTGCAATAACTTAACTTCCCTCGTACAAACCCAGCTTCGTTGATGTAGTTACCTTAGCTTTGATAAAAAGCCCTGAGAGGATGGGGCATACAGAAAGAATGGCCAGGCCTGCAGTCAACACTGCGCGATGGAAGAAACTCACCACCTGGGGGCAGCAAAGGCATCATTTGTAGGACAGTATTCTCCTCATACATAAAACGAGTCCTTTGTATTAATGTATTTCGAGTTATTATAGGAATCATCAATAATGATGACATCACAACAGTCACTCACCAACAACTCGACTCCAAAAGCCACCAGCACAAAATAACCAAAACATTTCCACAGCGGAAGAGAAGGCAGCGACTTCAAATCCATCAGAGTACCACATCTACAACGGATCATAATGCAATGCAATTACCATGTCTTGTGTAATATGATGCTTTGATCCATTTACACACAATGTACAAACAACACTTCAAAGAGTGATTTGCATTTCACAGGAGTTTTAACAGATGTGAAAAAACGTGAGGCTGCTGTAGATAAAAGCACTGGGATAATTAGACTGTCCGATTATTTAACCATGCCCACTGAGTGTGTGCACACGAGTGTGTGTGGTGGTGTGTTTTGTCTAACATCTGTCATCACTCACTCTTTCAGAACAGAGTACCAGACAGGGACAGGCAGCAGGCAGTAAATATAGTAGGTAAGTGGGCTTCTTTGAATAAGGAGGAACCCAGTGATCCCCACTGTCACACCCACACATAGCCTCTTCAGGGTACGGCTGGGAATCTGCAAATGCAAACACATGTTGAGTCTGCTGGAAGAATATTTAAATACATGTTTAGTATGTAAAAGATCTTAAATGCGAACGTTGACTAGGAATAACATTGTACGCTCCGACCTGGTGACCTGGTTGTCGTATTAGGCTGGCGTGAGTCTTCAGTATTACTACAATCACATATGAGGTCCAACCCACAAATCCCAGCACCACACTGCAACCTAGGAAGAACCTGTCATAGGTGTGGTAGTAAACCAGGCCCTCCAGGGCATGGGATATGAGAGACTGGCAAAGAGAAATCTGAAACGGATAAAAGTAGAAAAATCTGGGTTAGAAGGAGAGTAACAATACAGATACCAATGTTAACAGGTGCTTATGTACACACAGTTTATTCAGTACTCACAGCTTTTTCATACTCTTCCAGCTGAATCAGCTTTTTGGCGTCATGTATAAACTCTGCTTGTTTTATGTCAGTCAATTGTCTAGAAAAAAAAAATGAAAAAAGCAATAACTGTAGATGGCATGAAAATAATGATAAAGAAATTGTCCTCTCGCAGGCATATAATCCAGAATGTCCACATATACACAACCATAAATAATAATAATAATAATAATAATAGAATTTTAGAAACATGATTTGGTGCAAAAAAATAAAGGCTTAAAATACAGCTGGATTCTTTGCACACCTGTGCAACAGTCCTGTTCTTTACCTTCAAGGGGTAATGAGTGAATACTTGCACTGCAAAGTAATCTGGAACACCGTCCAATAGGACTGCTTCACAGTCAGTACTTACAGATATGGGGTGAAGAGAAAGGATAAGGTCGTCTCCTTTTTCTGCATCATTTTGATCTACACAAACAGTGTAGTAGTTGTCAATGACCTTATGTGTTTTATACACAGAACTAAGATATGATTCAAAGTTAAATATGAATCTGGCACAAATGAATAATGTTTCACCTTGAACTGCTCGAGTACTTGAATAGCGTTTGTGTACATGCTCTCTGCTTTGAACAGGGCACTGTTGTTGAGGTAGAGAAGAGGCAACACGCCCTGAAGTTTCAAAAGACAAACAAACAAAAACAAAGGTTATAAAAACTCTAGTGCTATATTTCAACATGAGTGTGCTAAATTTAGAACTACTGTTTGTTATTTTTGTTGACTTGTGATTTCCAAACTTACAACTGAGTTGACAGGAATCGGGACACCAATGAGAGAGGACATGAGGGGAGCGATGTCAGCCTACAGAAACCAGAAACAATCAGTTTGCATCTGCATCAGCTTGCTGTTACGTCACTGCTTTTTGAACAGATTATCAATAACAAAGACTGTTACCTGATTGACATCGACTCTACGGATGTGCTCGAGTTTCCAATCTGTAAAAAAATTGTAAATCCCTTTTGATTATTTTGTAGAAGAATTAAGTGAAGGTGGAAATTCAGTGCAAGTGTTAGCACCTTGTAAAGATCTGTCAGTGAACTGTTGAGGCTCAGTGACTTTAACTGCATTATTAACTCCAGCCCCCCATACAACTAAAGGGGTAAGTGTTTCAGATGGATGGCCCGCACCATGTGATCCTGCGAAAAGAAAACATGAACAAAGCCAAACGGTCACACATTAATTTAAACAAATGCTCAACTCTGATCATTTTACCAGCCTTACCCCAGTTTGTCATGCCGTGATCAGAGGTAAACACATAGGTTGTTTGACCATCGTGACCAAAGAAGTCTTCCACCAGAGACACCAACTCAGCGACACCAGCGTCTACGAGACCAATATTGTCAAGGTACTCCCTGAGCACAAAACACAACAGTTAAGTACAAGACACTTGTATAACTAATAACAAAAAAATCTTTAAATGTGTTTCTTACTTTGACATTGGCCTGTGAGCATGACCATTGGTGTCTATACCCAGCAGATGCAGAAAAAAAACATTTTTATCCTGGAGAAGACGCGCCCTAAGAGTTGAATTGGACTTTGCTGACTCAAGGAATGACTGATACGAAAAGAAAAATAAAAGTAATTTCATGATTTTACAGTGTTTTACACTTTGATAGAAAGAAAAATGCAAGACATTTTTTACTTAAATTTATTTATAAGTTATTTATTTTAAATAACTGCATCTTAGGATTCTGTTAACAAATATAGAAATGGCTTCAAAATTATATTATCAACTTTTTATTACAGGAGCTGGGTTGGAAGGAAGTAATTAAAACAGTATTACAGTTGACAAAAAGTGAACAATGCTATTATTAGTAATTTAACAACAATAAAATTTACTTTGACTTGGGTGAACACCCAACTGTCAAGCCTGGAGGCGTCTGTGGAGGCAAAATCCTCCTCCTCTGCTGGGTATGTGTAGGTGTAGACATGGTCACCAGTGGCACCTAAAAGGCACATAAGAGGTTTTTATTCATTAGTAGTACCTTTTGTAAGTAAAATTAAGTCAATAACTGTGTTTTTTATTATCTGTAACCTCAGACATGGTGCTATTGCTCAGTTACATTTGGTTTTGGTGACAATTGCCATTTTCAATCATTTATTTGAAACTATTAGACATTAAAGTAAATATGTGTATGCAAATCTACCTTTTGCAAACATAGGCAGAATGTCAGGGCTACCCCAGCACCATGTGTGCCTGCTCTCATTAAAAACTGAGTCAAACTCAACAGGATTCTCCTTCCAACCTGGTTTCAAACACAAAAAGGATAATACATTATCAAAACAACATTAATAAAGGTGAAACACTCCCAGCGATCACTAGGTTGGGCCTATATGTATTAAAGGCATAGTTACCTTTGGCAACAGCACTGACATCCTCATAGAAGCCAGCTATGAGAGCAACATGGCCAGGTCGGGACTCAGTGGGCACACGTGTGTGCGACACACCCCAGGTTCCCCTCTCCTCTATCACACGCCTTGCATTTGGAAACAAATTTATATAAAGAAAAAACAACTTAGAATTTGTAAACAAATTCATTGAAAGACCTACAATGAAAGCTTCACAAGTTAGTCAACCTCAGGTATGGTGTCCTGGAGGAGCCATCGGGGAGCACAGTGAACAGACTATCTGCTCTGAGGCCGTCGGCAACCATCAATACTAGTCTGGATGCAGGTGGTGCTAGTGGTGTAATCTGGGGTGTCATACCATGGACCAAGGGAGAGGTGAAGTAAATGTCGAAAATAGAAATAAAGAAGACCACGTGGACTAACAGTCCAATCAGAAAGAAGGTGATCATCTTGCTTTGGAGTGGTCACATTGAGGTAGGCCGGCAGAACCGTCTTCTAAAAAGAAAGACAGGATAATGGCGTTAGCTAAAGAAAATGGAAGACATTAGGCAGGATTTAAAGGCAGTGGTAGTATTTAAAGAAAAAGCACGGACCTTGTTATTTTACATTTAATAATTTTGTTGTGTACCTGAAACGTTCACATACTCACCCGAAACTTACAGGTGAGCACCAGAAACGTTTATTTATTCTGTTTATTGGTTGATTTCCCCATATCCCTTCAGCGGCTCTTTAGTAAAGAGACAATTGGAGCCAGAATATGTCCTGTAGTATTTATGCAACACAACATTATCTTTAAGTCTTCATGACTTAATGCGTAGATTTTTGTTTATTATGGTTTTTCATTTCATAACTCTGAAAGCTTCTTGGATTACTCCTGCTATTACAACCACTTTTAGAATTCTTTTCATTTAATTTTAATGGCATTTGTACTAGTAGCTTGACGCAGAAAACAACAATGGATGTGTAAACGAAGAGAATCAAGTCTTACCAGAATATTACGTCAGAAAAATCCGACCGTAGAGCTGGAGAACAATGTCCCATTAATGAATGAATGGAAAATCAAAACAAGTTGCTTCTGTTTCACGAATTGTACGCTGATCTATTTCCCATACTGTGTCCGTGAAATACCAGGTATAACAAAGAGTCCAGGAGATGAACGTCTTTTTATTTAGTAATTTAGGTGCGTGCTTTTAATAAACTTACTCTCACATACTGAAAAACAGTGGCACTGTGAGAGTCACTTCCTTGTTGTCACTGGTGTTGACCCTTGACTCTAGTTGGAGGGGGATTCTGGGTAATGTAGTCAAATAGTTATCTGTCAGCGAGCATTCTTCAACGGCTTCTTTCCAAGGGTCTGGTGTAATTTATTTTCAACATTATCATTTTATTACGGAGCAGGTCGTATGAATAATTTGTTTTGTGACATCACATTTGCTAGTATTGTATATTAGCTGGATTATTGTTTTCTTATGGTGTTGTCTAATGTGCCCTGCCCAGTTTCCCTTTCCGTATCCGATCCGTGTCCAATCACCTATTAGAATATCAAAAGAGGTGGGCCTAAATGGTACATCACCTGGAATCGGCCAATCACCTCTTTCCATTCTCTCCTGTCAAAGCTGCCTACCAAAACCATAGCAAGCCTTGTATCCATTTAGAAAGAATCGGTTCCGATTGACCAGGCTGGTTTTGGGTTATTGGAAAAATCCGTATCTGGCAAAAATGGCGTCCGTCAACCCGTTTAATGTGAGCGACTCTGATGAGGAGGCTGAGCGGCGTCCAAACGAAACTGTTGACACAGAAAGAAGCCCAAGCGAGGGAGCGCCAGGGCCGCCGCCAGGGAACTCTTTCTCCCCTTCTGCAGACGGCGAACCTCCGACACTTCTGTTGTCAGGCAACCGAACGAGTCCCAGCGGCGAGGGCATCCAGTTTCCGGCTGCGGCGACCTCGGTGATGGCGGGCGGCACCGAGACAAGGGTGTCAGTAGATGTTATTGCTGCTCAGCTCTTACGGGACCAATACATTCTTACGGCCCTGGAGTTACACACCGAACTGCTGGAAGCAGGCAGGGAGCTACCGAGGCTGAGGGATTATTTCTCTAACCCTGGCAACTTCGAGCGACAGAGCGGCACTCCGCCTGCCAAAGACCAAGTCATTGGACCCGGTGGACCGCTGAGTAAGTCTCTGCTGTAGACAAAACGTTATCTGTCAAGTCCCATAGCCCTACCTTTAAACTGCTAGCTAGCATTAGCCCAATACATTGGCTTGTGAGAACCAATCGATCGTGGACTATCAGCTTGCTGCACCTGCTAGTAGCCGGTGAGCATCTTTTGTGGGTCATCTTTATTACCACATCTTGGCAAAACTGAAAATAACATTAACGCACTTAGACTTTATGTGGATTATCAGCATATAGGTGACTTGTTAGGATGGTTAGTGATTACGTGACAGGCCTGTCGTGTTCACCGTACTGTAATTCAACCCTGTCTTCCTTAGACTTCACCTTAGTCACCGGTCAGGATCAATAACAGAAAAGTAAACAGGGGCAATGCATTGTTTTCATCAGTTTAGACTTTAGACTTCAATTCTACAGCACAGAAGTGAAGTTTGTGTGCACAAAAAGTCTAAATGATTATTGTGTGTACAAAAAATCTTAAGGTTTTAAAGACTGCTGAAGTTATTTTATGAAAAAGTACATTCTACGCCTATAATCAGGCGTGGCATGTAAATGGTTACTATGGCAACATTCAAAAAGTCACACTAGAGGAAGCACTCAAGAGTGCAAACACATGTCAAAGAGGCTCATTTCACAATGGTGCTAATGCATTAACAAGCTAAAATAAAATGTCATAACCTACATTTATTTTTTTAAATCAAAATCTACTTTAAAACTGAACTTTCTGATTTTCATGGTAGCTTCTAATGGTAATGTTAATGGTAGTCAAAGTAGGCACTTTGAATAGGTAAGAGGAGACAGATCTAAAAAAAACCCTGAGCTCTTCTAGTTGCAAACCAAGCCCCATTGTCAAGATGGTAGACCATGCTTTTTTTTCCTCAAAATGTTCCGAATATTACTACAAGGACACTTCAACATGGACATTTAAGAGATAGTACAGGATGTTTTAAAATCCTGTAAAGTCTTTGGAGCAAAGCACAGGCACGGTACACTGACAATTACTATTACAGTATCTATCCATTTTTTTACTGCTGCTTAATCTAGTCAAGTGTTTAGGGTGGGGCTGGAGCCAGTTGTAGCTCTGCACTCTGGACTATGATGTACTCTAATACCAACACTAGTTTTAGGTGATTGCCTATGGAGATTAAAATTATTCTTGGTCTTCTCAACAGCAGTGATGATATCTTGCATGTTTAAATAACACTAATAACTGCGTTTCAGGAGATAAAGGAAAGGAACTGACCCACATTTTGACGACACTCATCTTCTCTGACATGTTACACAGAGACACACAGAACAGAACTAGTATTTTGACATCTTGGATTCGCCAAATAAACATAAGCAGAAACAATCTGTTGATCCCTGTTGATTTAAACCAGATGTTTTCCCTGTTCTTTTTTAGCTAATGTATCAATTAACAATAACCTGATCTAACTGGAGAATGCTGTTAGTCATGAGAGTGGATAAATGGCCTTGGGCTAACTTTAGGAAAACATAGCCAGTCAACCGACTGTTTTTTACTTGAGAACTCAAGTTGTAAAATTTGCTTAAATGAAACCATTATAAGAATAGAAATAAATCTAAATATTAAAACAATCTTGGCACAGATAAAATTGGAAGCAATGAACTCAAGAACCCAATGCCTGACCTTTGATCTTTTATCACAGGCTCATGTGATCATTGGAATGATCTCTATTTATTAAAGGTTGTGAATCTCTTTTGACACAAGATACACTTGAACAGCTCTCATAATCTTTTGTTTAGAAAAAAATAAGTGCTTCACACTGCTGACAATTGTAGCACGTCTGAACTCAACCATGACTGTACAAGATTTTACACAATTATGATTCTAAAAAAAATAAAATCATCAATGGAATCAATGGAATTTCACAGAGAAATAAGAGACTATTCTCTGAGCCTCCAATGATGTAAACAAGATCATGAGTCGACATTATATGTGTGACTTTTTAAGCCTTGAACGACTAATTATCTTTGGCCATTGTATGTGTAATTACAGTGTTTACAGGCTGTATTATACTTGCAGCCGTTGCTCTAAGCAACAAAGCCCTTTAAAGCATCTCTCACCACTTGTCTAATTTGCTGCAAGGATGCATGAAGGCTCCCACCACAACATTTTGGACAGTTGAGCAAGTATTTGCTCACATGACGAGGAGCCCTTCAGGCTTGGCATGCCATGATATTGTCATATGATACACACTGTTAACAGGAGGCTGCCGTGGCTGGAATGTATTTTACATGAAATGTCAAAGTGGCCAAATAAGTTTCAGAAGATTTTATAATGTTGTTATGATGTCTCTCCACCAGGCCCTCTGTCCACAGCAGGGGTTAGCTTTGTGTGAGGCATTGCTGAATGATATCATCGGAGTTTTGCAAATGTTCCCTGTTGTTCTGGTCAAGCTCTGACCTCTGCTTATCAGTAACTGTACTATGCCGAATTAATACTCTGGGCTCCTGCAAATTCCAGCCTCTGTGTGTGGATGTGAACGGTTTATTGATGCAAGAGTTTCACATTGTTTAAATAACAGTGTTTGAAAATTTAGTCAAAACTATAAATTTGTAATTGTACAATAATTCTTATCATACAGCTTGCCAACCTTAATAAAGGTAAGCAACTAATGAGGAAAATAATCTCAAATAAGTAACTGCACCTTTATCACTGTACACAACATAAGGCTTGAAAACAGAAAGAATACAACAGAGAGGTGATGGAAAACAGTAAATCCTCCTTCACCCCCCAACATGTTACACAGCTTTGGTGATAGTCAAATTAGTCCTAAATATACTAAATAATGTGTGCGTGACCCTGCCCACTGTGGAATAACAGGTTTGTGTTCTTTTGTTTTCCTTACACACCCACACACATTTATTAAGTTGTTGTCTTTCTACTGATTTTCCAACAAGATTGCAACCGACTGTGGGTAAACACATTCACTCATAAGGAAAAAATCATCTCAGATCAAGAAACAGGATGACCTGACACTAGGATAACAACAGTACCACAGTTCCATAAAGGCTGTAGGACACTGTATCTGTTTAGTCGCAGGACTGATGTGTGTATAGAAGCTTTAGGATCACGTCTAAATACACCAAGCTTACTTCAATACTCACTGGAACTAAATAAGTGTAAAATACAACTGATAACTTAAGTTCGGAAAGTTGAACAGGCATCACTCTACTATTTTAATCAAACACAAAGAAAATCTATAAATATGGAGGACTCTTATTGTGACCTGTTGATCCACTCCTCCATTTTTTTCAAGGTCTACTACTTTGCACCAGACTCTTTAGGTATCCACTGATATGTATAAAGAGTGCAACCTCACTTTTGTATTGCATCATGTATTGCAGTAGGAAAAACAAAACAAAGCTTAGTGAAGGATCAAAGTTGTAGTACTCAGTATACAAAATAATTCACAAAATGGTGTGACTTAAATCCCCTTGGGCACTGTTTAAGCATCACAGGGATGTTTGGTCATTTGTGAATTTGCTGCAGCCTCACTCTGTATCCTTGGGTTTCCTCGGTGTTGAGCAGGATGTTGTCATGATGAAATATGTGTCCTGTATACCATATGTCATGTTTTTTTCCAGTCGATTTGTCATCTAGTGGTTTCCTTGCCCTTTAACTCCTGTGTCTTTGTATTTTCCAGATCGAGCAGGCAGCATCAGCACCTTAGACTCCCTGGACTTTGCCCGTTACTCAGACGATGGTAACAGGGAGTCAGACGAACGGGTGGCAGGTAAGAAAGCCTTTGTAGTCGAGGCTGCAGTACTTTTGAGGAACCAAAGATGGAAGAAAGAGGGACCATAAATGCTACACTTCCATATGAATATGAGAAACACCTACAGGTTCAGTTGCACTGCTCTGGTGCTGCAGTCATCTATAATAGACTGTTGTCAGAGTATTTACTGAACAGCAGTAGTTTTGCCCATATTGGAGGTGTAATTACTAAGGTATCTCCGAAATTTGTCGTAGAGTCTCTGCAGATATCACACTGTTGAGTCACTCTGTATTTTTGGTCTTGGTTCAGATTCAGCAGTGTTTGAGAATCATCTTTATGCAACACCTTACTTTGGATTTGTCGTGACACACCATTTTATGATTTTAATTGAATGCATTAACACTTGTTTCTTACACTGGTGACACGTACTCCCAAAATAAGGTTTTATCATCAGCTGCGGCAGCTCCAGAGAAAATGAACCACTGCATCTGTTGTTTGGTAATTCACCGGATCCTTTGATTCTAAACAAAAAAAAATAAAAAAAAAATTCCATATATCTAAGTGTACAAGTGAGGCTGCAAAAGTAGCAGTACACAGTGCACAAAAGGAGCATCTTATCTCCAGTAGGTAGCCCTGTTCAAATTTAAGTTCTATAAAACGTGAGAATGACGGTGGGTGGTGTTTTTGTGAGGGAAGCGCCATCTCTTGATCATACAAGGCAAACTCAATGACTGGAGTACAATTACACTTGCAAACTTGTAAAATGTACTTTTTTCAGTTCCTGTTTCGAATATAAAAAATATATATATATATATATATACTGTGTATATATATATATACTGTATATATAATATTTCCCAGCAGTGACTTTACCTACGACTACCTCAGACTGTAAGGGCAGGTGCATTACCACACTGCAGTTTGTACTGCATTTGCAGAAAGTATTTTTTCCACTGTATACTAACTTTACGGTAGAAAAATGTGAAGGTCAGTGCACTTCACATGTAACCAATGACACAGTTTGCTCTTGGCGTTGGCTTTTTCAGTTGATGATTAACTGATACCTGATACAAAATCCTGCAGACTAAAACCATGCAGCAGAGATGTTGGTTTTCTTGTTTTAGCATCATTTTAAAATCACTGTAAATATATATTTTTATTTTTATTTTTTTATTATGACACTACCCCGGTGCCGTTTATTTTGAATTGGCACTTCCCTCTTCCTTTCTCCTCTCTTTACCCACTCTGACTCTCATCTGCCCTCCATGGTTTAATTTATTATTGTTTTTGTGAAATTGTCTGCCCCAGCTGTCTGACTCTGGGTTTTCTGGCTTTCTCCTGACGTTGATCAAACCCCAGTGAAAAACAAAACTGGACAAGTCACTCCATCCAGACTAGCTTTTTTTTTCCTCTCTCTTTTTTTTCTACCCGTTATTTAGTTGTTGGTTGTTCATGTTGTTGTGTTGCATCCTGTGCACTAAGAACAGAATACAATGTGAGGAAAACTCAATCTTAATGATAAACTATATTTTTAAACCAAAGATTAAGGAAATCTTAGATTGGGAGTGAAAGGAAAATCAGTGCACAGCTATGCAACATATTTCCAGCTCCATTACTTTTTACATTTGCGTGTGTGTTTTTCTTTTTGTTTTTCTTCTAACTTTCCTGTACAAGATCTTGTATGTCCTACGTTTGTCAAAGGCCTTTATAGATATAAAGACTTCTCGCCATTTGTCTGCTGCTTCTAATTTGTGAAGATTTTAGAAACAGCACATTTTAGTTTGTTCTCTTCCCTTCATATTGAGACAAGAGTCCTAAAGTTTCAAATTCTCCAGCTGATGCAACATTTTGAGACTCTGTTGTTTCAGTTTTGTGGCCTAAACTCTCAGCATTAATCTGCTGATCAATTTTGTTTGAGTGGCTTGAAACCAATTTTTTATGTGAACTCTAAATTTGTCTGGAAGAAATCCTGTGTCAGACAGCTCCAAGATTATAGCACTACCGCTGCTTTTCAGTAGCTTCACATCGGCTACAGTAGCTTTATTCTTTTTTCAAATGAAATTCCACGATTGGGATTTTCCACACTCTTGTCCCACAGTCATCTAGCCGCCTTCACCATGATCCTCTGCTGCATGTGTTGCTTAGACCCATGATTTGCATGCATCCCCTTTTTTGTTCTTTTGTTTTATTCCTGTGTGTGTGTATGTTGTCACTTCCTGTCCAGTGCTGGAGTTTGAGCTACGGAAAGCAAAGGAGACCATTCAGGCTCTGCGCGCCAACTTGACTCAGGCAGCAGGTGTGGCAGTAATTTTAACTTCTTTTCGATCCTGAAGCCTCTTTAGTTACAGCTGTCTTTCTGTTTGTTACAGTGTATTCCTTTTCTAAATAATGCACAGCCTGTGTTTACTTTTTTATTATGTCATCCAACATTTTCCTGTTTTTTTTCCCCAGAGAGTGAAGTGCCCTCACAGGAGAGGAAAAACTTCAAGACTAGTCCTGAAATCCAGGTAGGGAACTTCACAGCACTGTATTCCAAAAATGTCATTCGTTTTCTTAGACTTTGGTTAAATTTTAATCACAGTGAGGCTGAAATGGCCTGGCTAAAACAATACATAATTAAGGTTTGATTTTTTGTTCTCTCCCCCTCAGGAGCCTATCCGCCCACTGGAGAAGAGAGCCTTAAACTTCCTTGTGAATGAATATTTATTAAAAAACGATTACAAACTTTCATCCATCACCTTCTCTGATGAAAATGACGACCAGGTAAAGGTTTTTGTTTAGTTTTGCTTCTTGATCATATGAACTACAGAATGTAAATAAAACCTCAAATAAATTCTTGCAGTTAACCTATAAACTGTGAAAGCCCTTTTTCATTTTTCATAATTCTGCTGCTTTCTTTTGCAGTTTACCTATTTAATTTCTTTCTCTCCCAGGACTTTGAGTTGTGGGATGATGTCGGCCTCAACATCCCTAAGCCACCTGACCTACTACAGCTCTACAGGAGTTGTGGCACCCCCCTGTCATCACCACGCAGCACAGTAGATGTTTCTGTTGCGGTGGATTTTGCTGATCTTCCAGGAAACTGCACCGCTCAGCAGTCACCAAAGAAGCCCAGCCTTTACAGTCAGGTAACCACTGTGCATAGATGTAACTCATTCACAGGAATGACATTTATGACTGGACCAGAGACTGAACACAGTGCTTCTACATTAATATTAAAATTTACAAATTTTAGTTAGAATTTGGTTTAAACAGTGCCAAAAAAACAAAATCTTCCTAAGTTCAAGTGCAGTGAATAATCACATTTAAATGACTGTCTATAAAGCTACTATAATGACCGCCAATGAACTGTAATATTGTGTGATAATTAGTCATCATAATTACTGTATGATCATGAAAAACACATAATTGCAGCCTTTTTAAAGTACTATTTGTGGAATATTTTTCTTTCCTCTGGTGATCCTTAAATTCTTGTGAATGGATCACCACTGATGAAGAGTTGGAATGACACTGACACTGATGTTTAATCCATATAGAAACAGACAGAGGTGGTGCAGGAGCTGGAGTATCAGATCAGCCTCCTCAACACTGAGAAGCAGAGCTTCGCTGAGCAGATCAAGAAGCTACAGAGGTTTGTTTTCATGCATCATCAACACAACATTACCCAGTTATGTAGAAATTCAAATAAATTTAGTTTCCTTTGGGGCTTTTTTCCTTCTCTTTTTCTGTTTTACTATTTTCTTCCCAACACAGTGAGATCCAGACACTAAAGAGATCTGTCATCTCCCCACCTCTGACCACTCTGGACCTGGGATCCCAGAATGCCCCTAATCCCCTCTCCTCCTCCACCACCATTACTAGCAACACCACCACTACTTTCTCCACAAACCCTCTCTCAATGGTATGTTAAAAAAATTAAAACAAAAGAAAAAATTCAGTTTGTATACATGTGAGACACTGACTAACGTACCCTCACCCTCAGCCTTCGACAGACAGCAGCCACTATCTCGACATTCGGGGGGATTCAGATTCCAAGTGCGAGGTGAACCCTCCCCATCAAAACACGTCACAGTCCTGTCCGCAGACGCACAGTGAAAAAAAGAATCGGCCCCCTGTTCAGTTTGACAAACCAAACAGGTGTGTGAAAAAAAAAGAATGCTTAGGTTAAGTTAATGACTTAATAAAAAAAGAAGAAAGTCGTATTAAAGCAATCGAACATTTGAACAATTCTAAAAAACTGCAGCCGTGTAAAAGAGCGTAGTATCTAAATGCTACCACTAGGTAGCAGCACCCAACAAGCAATGTCGCCACAGCCGACAAAGGTAATGGATAAAATGAAATGCTGCCCTCCTACATATACAGTTATGGCCTGAAGACACAAAACATGGCTTTTTCAATAAATCATCAGGATTTTCTTAGAACTTTTAAACTAATATACTCTAAGTCTCACAATGATTATTAAAAGATATTCTGGTCAAGGCAGAACCTTTTGTACAATTACAAACATTTTTGTATGTTTGTTAAATGCCTAGTTCATTTATATTTTTGTCAATTTTCTTCCTGTTTTGACTTTAATAATAAGCTTGGTAAAGAAGTAAGAACCAACTCACTGAATTTAAGAGCAGATTAGCTCCTTTCAAAAGTAGTAACTAATTTTTCCTCCCTGTGGTTGTGCTGACACAGGAAGTTATCCCCAGTCTTTCAGCAAACCCTGCTGTCCTTCTGCAGAATGTGCCCTGACAGCCGGCTGGGAGCAGAGGTCAGTGAACTCACTCACTCATTCACTTACTTACTCATACAAATCATAAAAGTACACATTCATGAGAACCTGAGTGTCTTTTTGTATGTACAGGTGTCTCGTATAGCAGACAGTGAGGAGAGCGTGATGCTGATGCTGGGCCGCTGTCTCCCACACATTGTCCCCAATGTCCTCCTTGCAAAACGAGAGGTAACCACTCTTCTGCTGTTCATCTTGAGCTATTTGTTCTCTCTGTGTCTTTTTCAATTTTTGCCATCATTGAGGGTTTCTTCTGTGGTAGCATCACAACTAAAAGTCTGTAAAATAAATGAATGTTTAACTAGTTTTGTCCTAAAATATCCATCTGTATTGTGTCTGTTGACTGGGATTTTCACCCTACACCTTGATATTGTTTTTTTTGTTTTGTTTTTCTGCCAGCTTCAGTTTCATGTCTTTTGTCTCCACTTGTGTTTGTCTTTCATGGACATCACTGGTTTTTATTTTTATTCTCCTCTCTTCATCTCACTCATTCTCTCAATCTCGTGCATGCCTCTCTTCTAGAGAATGGTTACACATCTTTGCCAGGTGAGTCTTTCACGCACCCATCTGCATGGTTCCAACATGACCTCCAGACCAGTGTGACCCCATCCCCTTTTCCTATTGGCTACAACTGCTATAACTTGGGGTCTGACTTGACAGTTCTTTTTTGTTGATTGGCAAAAATGTCATTCTTCATGTAATTTTTTTTTTATTCAATTAAGTTTTTTTGTTAAGAATAATATTATAAAGATTTATAGCCCAAATGTAAGACTACACACATCGACAGCCCAGGGTGTACAGTCAAAGCCAAACTTGTGTCATTTCCTTTTTTTCCCTTAAACCCACAATTTATGTTTCATTTTTTTATGTAATTGTTTTCTCGTCTGCTTAATTTGAAACATCATCAGTTTCCTAAAATTCATAAGCTTAAATGCTGCACTGGTCTAAAAAATCCAACTAAAAATATCAAGACTGTTGAGTTATTTTCAACTTTCCTTGCCCAATGCTTGATGCCAGACACTTAACAGTGTTTTATAAATATGTATATACATTGTTGTTTAGCTGATACTTTCGGATTGCAACAATAGTCAGAGGTCACTTGATTTAGTTTGCAATTAGCACAAAGAACCCTGATAATTAGCCCTGTAAACACTCACACACAGCATAAGATAATTATGTGCCTTGATGTAAGGTAACATACTGTACATTTTCAGTAAGTCTGAGTTGGCAGATTTTGAAATAGATATGCACCGACATCCTGTTATTATGATACAAACACCTGCACAGATGTGTTGTCTACACACAACGACTGATATGTCTGTGTGTGTTTATGTCCAAAGACATGTTATGTGTGCACACAGAGTGTGGAAACATGACACCAGAGGTGAGTCTGTTTGGATTAGGTCTCCACCAGGCCGCTTTGCATATCACCATGGTTATGGGGATTTAATCAAGTACCAACAGTCGTGAGTAACTTAATCTCTGTGCAAAATCAGGACAAACAAACTGACAGGACGAGATGAGAGAAAATAAAAACACGCAGAGTGTACTGTAGAGGCCTCGGAGGGCTACCTGAGCCGTGCGGACTTTGCACCATATCCGTTAGGTTCACCAGCCATGACGGGACATGCACGCATACACTTGCACACACAGCTGCCCACACTTCCACCATGGAACCTGAAGCTTTTAAACAACCACAAGCCCGGAGACACTCCCTAAATTGTTTGAATGTGACACCCACTTAAGAACAAAAGGTGTTTGACTTGAAACGGTTGTTTCAAGACAATGTTTTCCTGAAACACTGCCTGCCACCTGTCTTTATTATCAGCGACTGTGAATCATTAAACTTGGTGTGTTTCACAGCAGAAAAATGTGACATGCAAGAGTGTGTAAACATGTGTCCTTTTTATTTTATTTTATTTGTTTCATAATTTAAGTCTTGCACAGTCTTGCTGCATCACAACAAAGGGACAAAGGAAGAAATAATGGCCAAGGTCAAATTTTCTTTGTAATCCCAAACTGTTACGTTTACCTCTTTTCACGAACTGCAGAACCAAAACACACACACAAAACATATGTGTTATAAAAATCAAGCTGCAGCATTGTGCATGTTTGAACTGAACAAACAAAATTGATGGAAATACCCAGTATGTCTAAAGTGATCCTTCTCACTGTGGGGCTGCAGAGATTAGTCAAATATGTGGATAACTGAATATTTAATTACTAAATTGGGTAGGTTATTATTGATGGTTTACTAAATGCTCTAGGGTAGATTTTATTATTATAAATGTAAATTCCTGGTAAGATAAATAAAAAACCCAAACCTTTTTGCTACATATCCTTCATCACAACCTAAATGAAAAAAAGTTAATTTGTTTAAATATATACGTAAAATGCCATTTAATTGTGAAATTATTTTATTATTGTAGAATGTTTTTTCATGACAATAGTTTTTATGATAATTCAGTCACTCTCATGAAAACAGAAGTCATTGCATGGTCATCTGGGCTAAATGTTCTGTCACCACCACAGAGCTACAGTGGGAGAGTCAAGCTGTAAGTGATGAAGATTTATCACTTAGTGATAATGAAAGTCAGTTTAAATTCTCAGGACAGTCCATTAATTATGTTGAAAAAAATGGAGCAAAGATGTGAAGTGTACCACGTCTGAAGGACTGGAACTAAATGATACCTGGGCATTTGCAGATGTCATGGGAACCAGGCTCTCCCAGTGGAATGTCAGTCCATGTGGCCTGCGGGCCTCTGGGCATCATGCTGACTGCTCTACCTGCCCACACTGTTTATTCAAAGTTGCTAAGATGTTTAAACCCACTGAAAGAGCCTTCACACCAGAAACACAGCAGGTCACACTGAAATAGAAGACGGTCAGAGTGGGCTTTGGCTCTTTATGAATCTTTTTATTTGTCTTATCAGGTCAGTGCACTTAAGTTATGTGTCCTGTGATGATGTGTGAAGCATTCCAAGAGTCTGGGACAGAGGGTTATTGGATGTGGCAGTTTGATTTGGCTGGATCTACTTATCATACATATTTGCATGTTTTCAATGCTGCGGCAGATAAACTTATATCTTCGAAATCTTGGTCTTTATTTGACCAATTACAACGGCTGTTTAGTTGTTGAGAAATCTCCTACGTGGCACTGACTTTTGATGGTTTGTCCAGGACACAGTGAGTGACTCATCAGAGCTTTTTTTTCTTACCAGAGTGTCTCTGTCAGGTCTGTCTATCCGTCCAAGGCTGAGGTTTTACTCATTCCTCCAGCACTTGGCAGGAAATATAATACCTTCCTGGAAAAAAAAGAGAAAACAAAACCAAAAAACGTATTTTTAACTCTGTGTGCACTCTCTAATTTGAATGTGTGTGGCAGGAATGTGGGGCTGACCACAGTTGGGCTGTGAAGGCCTTGTATCAAGGGCAGCTGAGCTCTCAGGATGGAAAGCCCATGAACTCAGGCTGAACTATAGAATCCTTGTTTGAGAAAGATAATGTGCATTAGGGACATGTCTGTCTGTCTGTCCCTCTGTCTGTGTTTCAGGAACACTTGAGTGTTTGCATGTATGTGTGTACAGTTGTGTTTTTTTTTTTTGTTTGTTTGTTTTTTCAATCAAAAGCTAAAACCTCTTCCACTGACCTAGTGTAGATGGTAAGCATGTTTTCTACTGGTGTTGACAAACTTGTGTTGGTTTTACTGTGTCACTTTTTAGTCATGACTCTTATCAACTTCCTGCCTTCTCTACTGAGTCCCCATGCCATAAAATTCCAGGCCCATTTGACTGCAGCCAACCATCGTTTCCTCTGTGTGTTGTAACTCAGCTATGCATGTTTCTAAAGGATTGTAAACTAATGCCATGTCTTCCTCTTCTTTCTCTTTTTTTTTTTTTTTTATTGAAGGAGTTAATTCCACTTATCTTATGTACCGCCTGCCTTCATCCAGAACCTAAGGAGAGAGACCAGCTCCTTCACATCCTTTTTAACCTAATCAAAAGACCAGATGACGAACAGAGGTTGGTCAAACCAGAAGTCTACACATGTTCGTTAGTGAAGGCTGATAAATACTACGCAAAAACAGAGAAATTAGTTCTCTCTCCCAGTGCTGCAGCTCTGGTTTGGGAGTTTCTTATGGCCTATTCTTGACAAGCATCATCAAGAAAGATTTTTTTTCACCTCCGTGGTGTCTGACAACTATTGTGTGATAGGCTACAATGGGTGGAGTTAATGCAGTAAGGCAGGAAACGCTGTCACACAAGGTTGTTCTAAATTATAATCAATTGAATGATAGCAGTGAGTTGAAGGCATTTTTCCCATCAACTCAAAGAGTCCATGTCATCTCATGGGCAGGTGATGTATTCCTAGAAGGATTTCTTGTGAGTTTGGCACTTAAAAAAATCTTAGTCTAAAGTCTAAAGTGTCCTGACCAGGACTCACTTGGTTCTCCTTCTTGCAGAGCATGTATCAGAATATTTTGTAAACAGTTAATTATTGTGAAAATACATGTTTCAACATTTGTCTGTGTTTGTCTGTGTATCTCTCCCTTAAGACAAATGATCCTAACAGGCTGTGTTGCATTCGCAAGGCACGTTGGTCCAACTCGAGTTGAAGCTGAACTACTCCCCCAGTGCTGGGAACAGGTACGGTGGACGCACAAGGGATTAATTTTCACCAAATGCATAACATTGGATTTGAATCCCTTTGCAAAACTTATTTTTACAAAACTGCCCTAAAACCCGAAGTTATGTGATTTGGTAATTCATTTGAGAATTTCAGTTTGGCAGCAAAAGAAGAAAAGTTTTACTGTATTTACTGGCAAACTTTATTCTATTTGTCAAACATGTCTACAACACATTCAAAAAGAGTTGGACAAGAGACAAAGAAAGTCAAATACAAGTATTTAAATGTCACTTTTTGGGAGTGGTTGGACATTTCACAATTAAATTAAGGTCATGAGAGAATTTAAATGAGGTTGAGCAGACATCAGATCAAGGTGAGCTTCAGTGGCCAGTCTGCAGTCCATTTTCTTCAATTAGACCTTGACCACAAACTGTTATTATTCAGTTCTTATATACAGGAAGTCTGTACATGAATTTCACCAAAAATATCCTTTGTCTCCAAACAATCAGACAGTCCAGTTGAGGGCAGACAGAGACGGTGACCTTGTGGTAAACTTTCCTCTCTCCCAGTGTTTTTTTTAGGTATTTTACATGTATTATCTTCTACATTAGTTTAGCTTTAATAGATTTACTGGATGTTGCTGAGTTTTCACTTTGTTTAAAATCCCTGATCAAAACAGTGTCTCAGAAACCAGCTCTGTCTTTCCTTCATGTCTCTAAATTGAATGTGATATCAGATGTGTTTTCATTACAACTTTACCTCATGTACTCACTTATGATAAAACAACTCCGCCGCCATGACAACAACAGCTGCTGGTGGTTTGGAGGCTGAGAATCGGCCTATTGAGATAAATGGCGGTTTCCACAGGGTCAACATGTTGATGAATTTTTGAGTTGTTTCCATTCCCCTCTCCTGTCTCCTGCTCTTTTTCTTTCAATTTTTTTTTCACAATTACTCTGGACATTAACTCCTTGACATTTTTCTTTGCTTTCTCATGGCATAGATTAACCACAAATATCCAGAGAGGAGATTGCTCGTGGCGGAGTCCTGTGGAGCCCTAGCGCCATATCTGCCTGTGAGAATGTGTTACAAGAAATAAAAGGAGCTGTGCAAGAGGTAAACAAATTATAGATAATTAAATATGTCCCTTTTTCCTCCTCTGTCTGCAGAAAGAGATTCGTAGCTCCCTGGTTTTGTCCATGTTGCAGCAGATGCTTACAGAGGATAAGGCTGATATGGTCAGGGAAGCTGTGGTCAAGAGTCTGGGTATCATCATGGGTTACATCGATGATCCTGACAAGTATTCCCAGGTATGCATTTTCCCAGGTATTTATGTGTGAAAATTAATTTTTGAAATAAACTCTTAAATCTCAAAACCCTCACATGTGCAGGGTTTTGAGCTGATGCTGCTCTCCCTGGCGGACCCGTCAGAGCGAGTGGTCAGCGCAGTTCACCAGGTTTTTATCCCCGCCTTCGCTGCCTGGACGACAGAGCTGGGCATGCTGCACACTGCACTTATTCCTTCTTTGTTGGCACGTATAGAGAAACTACTTAAGGTAAGTGCCTCATGTTGACTAAAGGAATTTTTACTATTAATACATGTATCGTCACTGCCTCACCCTCTTTTTTTTTTTTTTTTTTTTCGTCCATTTTCCTCGTTGCTCGCCGTTTCTTCAGCAGGGAGACCATGGCTTAGATGAACACAAGTTACACATGTTCCTGTCGGGCCTGCAGTCTCTAATCCCTCCTCTGTTTGCTGTGGTGCTGCAAAATGCTCCCTTCACCAGCAGAGCCATACTCAATGGAGACATACCTGCAATAGAAGGTAAATCAACAGCACAAATAAACATAATGCAAACCTCATATCCAAAACAACTGCCATATTTATGAATTAATCTATCACAGAAGGTCATTTGTTTTGCTTGTTTACGAATATGTTAAATTAATCACAAAAATACAGTTTTGGTTTTGATTGCAATTTTAAGGAAGTGAACCAGTAGCTCATTACCTGACTTCGTTCTCTCGTCCTTTGTTTTGCAGTTACACGGTTTCCCCGGCCAGCATCGCCACTTCAGGATGTGGCTACAATTATTGGCAGCAGGGAGATGCTGAGTGCTCTTCTAGTACTTTATGACCACCAACTGGAGCATGAAGGAACCACAGGCTGGGACAGTCTCCTATGGGTGGTCAATCAGCTGTAAGACACATCAATATCATACAAGTTACGAGTTTTCACCATGAACACAGTATAATGTGCGTTTTCCTTCTGTGTCCAGTCTCCCTCTGCTCATAGAGATTGTCGGTCGGATCAATGTTACTTCATCTATTTGTGTCCATGAGTTCTCTCGCTTCTTCTGGAGATTCTGTCGCACCTTTGGCAAAATCTTCACCAACACTAAGGTAAAACCCAGGAGAATTGTGTCCATATGGCTGGAACAGCTCATTCTAGATTGTTTTGGGGTTTTTTTTATTATTATTTATGCAAAGCTTGATGAGATTGTGAAAACTGGGAATTTAATTGTTGCAATTCTCTGGGCAGGTGCAACATATGTCAATGTTATTAATTCTTGTATGTTTAATTATTCCATGTGCTGATAAGCACAGTCAGTATAGGTTAGAGTACAGTAAATGTCAATGGTACCAACACATGAATCAATGATATACATATGACATTTTCAGGTGAAACCACAGTTCCAGGAGATTCTGCGGTTATCTGAAGAAAATGTTGGTAAGAATTACTTTGACCTTCACACACACACACACACACACATACTGATGTGCTCTAGTGTCTGAGACCTTCTAATCTGCTGTTGAGAGGAGGTTGGCTGCTGCTCTCCAGACTGTGTTGATGTAAACAAGTTTTGGGAGTCAGTTATAGGCGTTCCCCCCTTGCTTTAATTAAACCTTTTTTTCCAGCTGTAGCTTGGTCTCATTGTGAAAAAAACGTGGTCCCTTACTGTTAGTGTTTGCCAAGTGATAGGTCTGGGGTTGTGAAAAACGTATTAAATGCATTTGGTATCAAGGCACTGCCTATGTTGAAATGAATCAATTAAATAAACGATGTATCTTCAAAACACATGATCATTCAGTGTATCTAATTATTTATATATATACACAAATGGGCATAAACACTATTATAGCTTGATGTTAAATAATAGAAAAATGTTTGTGTCTTTTTTGTCTCTCAGATGCTTCAGCTGGTAATGGCATTCTCACCAAAGCAACAGTCCCCATCTATGCCACTGGAGTATTGACATGCTACAACCAGGTACAGGAACTAAAGTCATTTTTTTAACACTTTCTTTCTCTCTTCAACACCTCACAGTGTCTTAGTTACGGCATGTTCTGGAAACACATGTTTGTTTTCCTGTGTTTACTGTATGGACTTGACTGACTGCGTCGCCCTGGGATCGTTTCATAAATTTCTCTGGATATAGAGTGTGGACCACATCACACTTTCGGCTATTGTTCTCTGTCACAAGGGAAAATCCGGTCCAACGCACATCAGCCCACCACATGTTTTTGTTTTAGATTTAGCACTTGCAAAACACAGTTGATTGTGGGAGTCTCGATATAAAAGAAAATGAAATGTTTGGAGCAGCGCAGCGTGTGACTCATGTTGGAGTTGATAGAAGATGATTATTGATCTGCAGAGTAACAAAAACATCAATTTTATGTAAGGAGCACAATGTGTGAATGCATTTGTTGACCACACAATGTCATTAACACAAGAACACTGGTTTCTCTGTAGGAGGAAGATCGCAAGTTGTTGGTTGGTTTCTTAGAAGACGTTATGACAACACTGTCACTGTCTCACGCTCCCCTCGACAGCCTGAAGGCCTCGTTTGTAGAGCTTGGGTAAGACATGAGAGACAAACATGCTCCTTCACATACCTTCAGGTTTAGCTGCACCTAATCATTTTGATCTTACTAATCACGAGTCCAAAAAGGATCCACTAAAAGGGTAGTGCATGTCTCTGCTCTGTTTCAGTGCCAATCCTGTGTACCATGAACTGCTGCTGACTGTTCTGTGGTATGGCGTGGTCCATACCTCTGCACTGGTGCGGTGTACAGCAGCACGGATGTTTGAGGTACACACACAAACACACATTTGGACAAAGCCTTTGTTCGGGTTTGTTTGCAACGCTGTTTTTGCAAGAAAGGAGAACGGGTGACGTTGATACAGTAAATATGTACTGCATGGTCTGCTTTATATATATATATAGAAAATTATATATCTATATGTATATATATAATATAATAATATTATTATTTATATTTATTAGTTTTTAATGACGGTCTTATATTTTTATATTTTGGGTTTACATTACACTTTATATCTTGTAACAACATATTAAAAGAAACAGCTTGTTTATTTTTAAGTTGTGAATTCCAATGTAATGTTTCTGTGTTTTACCTGTGTGCTGTACATGTGCTAGCACTGCTTGCTCTTGCTGCTATTTAGCTGCTCTGTTAAAGGTATTGCGTTGGATAAAAATGGTGTAATTTCTCAGCCCCTGGTGCCAGTTCTTTATCTGGTCTGTTTACATTTGAGCTTTCACTGTGCACCTCAAAATTTACTATTTAAATCACAGCCACGTCTCACGGAAAGTACAAGGCCAGCAACTGTGATTTTATTTCAAATGTACCCCTTTTTTTTAGCATTTTTCTGTACGTTCTAAATTCACCTGTTTGTGACGATGGGCCTGATCGTTCTTCTGAGATCTGTGCACAGATAAAAGGTCAAATGTAGGGGTTAAACTCCAGGTCGGGCTGTAAAACTGTACCCACACTGACCTAAACATGGAGAAGGAGGAGTGGTAGGATGGAATCATGTCCCCTCTCCCCTGTTTTTGTGAAGTATTCGCCTCCCACCAAGTCACCTCACTGTCTCCATATCATAGTGTATAATTGTACAACATTGTCAGAATTGTGGGTTGGAGTTTGGACCTCTCCATAGATCTGAGTTGAAATTATAATCTGACCTGGAGTCTGTGAAGAGGTCCGTCACCTTAATGCTTCATACTCTAAGAATATTTGTGCAGTGTGCATTTGTGTGTGTGGACACCTTTATTTGAATGTGTGTGTGTGAGGACACATACTTGCTTGTTACATGCAGTGCTGTTCCGTGCCTTGCAGCTATGATTTTTGTCATTGTATATCACTTTCTTTCTATTTTTATGTTTTTTTTTATATATTCCCCTTCTTTGTCTTTTTTGTTGCTCCCTTTCTTTCTTTCTTTCTTCCTCTCTCTCTCTTTCTCTTTCTTTCTCTACCTATCTATTGCCGGTGTTGCTCGCTGTTGTCCCAATGCCCCGCCCACTTCTGTGACATCATGGCTGGCTCTGTCCAAATCGGATCAGCTGCTGGTGAAGGGGGTGAATGAGACGCTGGTTGCTCAGAGAGTGGTGCCGGCTCTCATCACACTGTCCTCCGACCCTGAAATGTAAGTGGAACGCCAACCAAGACCATAAACCGCGCCGCGTCTCTCTCTTCCCCCCCTTCTCTCTGCTGCCTGATAATGATCACATCCAGACAAGTCTCCACCATTCAGGAGCAAATTCAATACCAAAAGAGTCGTAGTCTAGTATTACTATTGACATTCCCATTGATTTCTTTTACTTCCATCTTTCAAATTGCTCCTGCTTTGGTTCAGGCTGTCACTGGGTTGTCTGTTGGCTCAACCGCTGTTGAAACTGACACCAAACGTCAGCAGCATCAACACGCAGCGCAAATCCACGCCAGCTCTCATTGCCTCATCAGTCTGCATTGCTCGTCAGTCCTCAGCCACGCGAGTGCGTGCGCAGCACAATTCCAGCATGCTCATCTGTGACCCGTTTCCTTCCTCCTACTCTTCCTCCCCTCTCCACGTGGTGGAGGCAGGCCCGTCCTCCTCACTGACCCAAAAGCCAGCGGTTGGTTATCTTTTCCTTTCACTCTGTTTGTCTCTCCCTTCTACTCTCTAATCCTCCCTTCTACCTTTACGTCTTTCTTTGCCTCTCTCCTGTCTACCTCTCGTCTCTCCTCTCCTCCTCCCGTCTCTGTCTCCTCCCACCCTGCCTCTCCCTCTCTCTCATCCTGCTGTGTGGTGGGTTTGCAGTTGGTTCTCCGAGGCATGAGTGAAGCATTAGTAGATCGCCGGGCGGCTCCGGCCCTCATAACTCTGTGCAGTGGGCCTGAATTGTGAGTCAATTTTGCATAAGAAACTGTATTAACATTGTCATTCTGTGGGTTGCATCCTGACGGTGTGAAGCTTCAACAACCAGCACCACCTGAACATTGTTGAGAGAAAAGGGCATTTTGAACAGTAGTCACATTTAATTTGTCTTTTTGAAGTGCTATACAAACAGGACAGTTGGTTATAATCCACCATTAGTCACAGTAATGGAATTGCCTTAAACAATGATGGGATGCAGCCCACTTTATCATTTTGTTCATCCAAATAGACTTGATGATGGGCACACTCGTGTCCTCATTCTGAGTAACAGACTTTTTGAATATTTACATATTTTGCTGTCGTCATTGACAAAATCAGCATTATGCTTTCCATGCTCAGCAGACAATAAAATGAAAATTAACTCAGTGACAAATTACTATTTATTCCACTTGTTTCAGGAGGACTGGTGTATCTCTAAAATTGTTCCTGCTCCTACTGACAGTGCACTGATGAGCTATTATCACTATACTATCACTATGTCACTATAACATTAATTACTGTCAGAATTATTATTTTTTATTCATGTCAGGGAGTAACAGTCAGAACAGTACTATACTGCAACTTCCTGTATGTCACAGTGTCTCTTTAAAATAGAAACTTCAAAAACATGCTTGTATTTAAATATATTATAATGTGTATTAAATTAAGTGATTGCTACTATTTATTATTAAAACAATTTTATGTTATTAAAAGCTTGTTTTTAGAAAGCTTTGTAGATTTTTTTCTTTTTTAATGCAAAATGTAATGCTTTTTTATTTTTTTCATTTTATATCTTATATAGATCAAGTCCAGTGTTTAAACTTGGCAGCCTTTACCAAAACATTGACAACACTGACGTGGTGTAATTGCAGCCCGTGATCCTATAATACTGAATACTACAGTGTTAGAAACCTCACTGTCATCACGATGGTTAGTCCGTGTCATAGTCACATTATAAACACATCCTGCTTCAACGTGGTTTCAGACCCACTGCTAAATTAGCACGAGTCATGGCACTGTAATGGACAGTTAGTCACATAAGTGCACAGTTTCAGTCAGTGTAAATCACTTTGGAGCAAAGTTGAACAGTGACAACCTCCAGATTTGTTTAACTGTGGTTCAAACCCAACAATCTGGACACTCAGACGTTTGAAAGTCAATCTTTGCACACGGTATTTGACCTTTTCTGATTATGGTAATTTAAAATAGTGAGAAACCTGAAAGTGCCATAACACAGGCTTTGAATCTGAAAGACTTTTGTTTGTTTTTTCCTTCCTCTCCTGCTGATTTTAGCTCGGTGAGAATATCCACCATCCCGGCCTTTGGTACCATCATGGAGACTGTCACACAAAAAGAGGTGAGAAAGAGCTTTATCCAAATGTTTGCTTTACCTAATATTTCACAAATAACTTTTTTACACATATTTAAAATTTCTGTTTGCACTCACAGCTGTTGGAGCGTGTAAAAATGCAGTTGGCGTCATTCCTGGAGGACCCTCAGTACCAGGATCAGCACTCCTTGCACATGGAGATCATCCGGACATTTGGAAGAGTTGGGCCTAACGCTGAGCCCCGCTTTAGGGACGACTGTATGTAGAAGGCTAAAAAAAAAAAACAATGCTGTGATATATCATTACTGAGGCTACTTTTCTTTTTTTTCCCGCCTGTGCTTTTTACAACATGGTATATTTCTCCTTACAGTCGTGCTACCACATCTCCACAAACTGGCTCTGGCCAACAACCACCAGGTAGTGGAGACCAAGAGGATCGACATTGCCATGCAGCTGTTTGAAGCCTACAGTGCACTGTCCTGCTGCTGTATCCTTACTCAAGCCTTGGCCAATAGTTTTTGTCAAAGAGCATCACTATATACTGTACACACTGGCTGACTGTTTACATGAGTGCACTCTTCATGAGCCCTTCATACACTGATACAGTGAGTGAAGTGTGTGGAGTTTCACAGAGAGGTCAGCAAAATCCCAGCTTCATAAGTGCAGCACTGTATGAACTTAGGATTTACTAGAAGTCGGTGTTAGTGTTGGCTGAGGTTCACCGTCCGCCGTCCTCACAGTGAGTCAGTGGGTCGGTTGTTACAGTAACTCTTCAAATGTGAGCGGCTCTGGTCACATGCTCTCCAGAGTGTGCCTGTGTAACTGTGTGCTGTTGCAGAGCTTGGCCCCGGTGTTTGTGTGCGTGGTTCGGTGTGTGTGTTGGCAGAGATCATCTGTCATTTGGCAGCAGGAGAAAGGGAAAATAAGCTCCCTCCTTTTTGAGGTAGAGGTAATTATAGGGTTGCTGGAGCAAAGGAAAGGATGAGAGAGAGGGAGAAGGAGCGTGAGAGGAGAAAATGGACCAGACGTCAGCCTCTCTGGTTAGTAACCGTTCCCAGCATTGGGCTCAGGTTTGTTCTACCTCTGCCATCCATCTTTAATGTCACTTTCTGATTCTTCCCACTCTTCCTTTTTCCTCCTTTCTCACACTTTTTACTCCCATTTCCCCTCCATCAAACCCCACCCCACCCACTTCCAGCACACACATGCAAAGAAGACAGCTGGTCTGGGCTTCATTCCTGTGGATCTTTGTCAGGCTGTTATTTTACAGTGAACGAGTGTCCAGGAGGTAAAGGCCTGACCTCAGAGGTTGCACCTCCCTCTGTACGCTTCTTTTTTTCTTCTTGTAATCAGTGAGACGAGCTCTGAAATTGTACATTCCCATCTCTAAAAATATAGATTCAAGTTGCTGTCGGTTTACTTATAGTTCCACAGGCTGTGATGGGTTACAGAACACATACAGGAGCAGCAAAGACAAACGTAGCATTCTGCTGAAAATTTAATTTTGTCCCCACTGACAGAAAACATAGATGTTTGAGGAGTGAGTTTAAATTTATAAAAGCATTTGTGTTTAACTTAGTCCTGCACCTTTCTCAATAATTTTTATTAATACCAATAATATTAATAATAATAATTAATAATGATAATAATGATCATCATCTATTAAAAGAAAATGTACTTATTTTCTCATTTAATTCACATAAATATGTATGTTGCCATTCACCAATTATTTATTTATTTTTCTCTTACAGTCATTTCCATAAAGATTGTCGAGTCTGGAAAAGTGTAAAAATATATATTTTCTAAAATCCCAAAAATTTTGTATCATCAGTATCTTAGTACAGTATCCTCTGTAGCAGTGAATTGTCACTATACCGTCTGGTGTTGACGTTTGTGTTGGTTTGATAGGAGGATTTTCCATTACTGTCTAATGGCAACCTCAAATATGGACTCACATTTTTGAGGGTATGATTCCTGTTTGTCAAGTGATTTTTTTCCAAACTTCCAGTCCTTAACCTCCTGAACAGTCATTTCTGAGGAGGTGATGATCAACCACTTCCTCCCTGGTCTAAGATGTCTCCGCGTCGACATGGAGCAGCTCTCTCCAGAGCACGAGGTCAGCAGACACACAGACCTGGCCCCCTGCTTTTGACCCACACGAGGGGTTTTCACATTAACTCTACAGACAAATATAGCACCCCCTCTAATCTCCTAACTCAGCGAATGGTCAAACCCTGCGTCTCTTTCTGACTGTCTCAGACACTCACTCACACACCTCCACCATATGTATTTGTGTCTCTGAATCTCACACACTCATGTGAGCATTGTCCCCGCGATGACTAATGATCAGCTGACCCTGTCTGTTAGGTCCATATACAACAGCTTGGAGATTATTTTCCAAGAAAATTACACACGCAAACAATAAACACAGTTCAAACTGCTTCTCTCTCCACAGGTGATTCTCAGCTCCATGATCAAAGAGTGTGAAATCAAGGTGGAAAACAGGGGGATGGCAGACGCACAAGGGTGAGAGTGAAGCAACTGGAGTCTCATTCACAATGTTGCAGTTTGTTCTGTTAATTGGACGAGATGTGTTGTGATAATAACCAGTGATGTTGTTCATGTGGCTGTTGTGAAAAGTGGTGAGGAAGAAGAGAGAAATGTTGTCTTACGACATGGAGATGGGAGGGGTCACTATGCAGCTTTTGAACTGGGCCCCTTTCAGTCTCCGGGGGTGGAGGGTGGGCAGCACTTTGGGACCACAGTCATTATGTGGGCATCTTCACAGAAGGAAAGAAAAGGAGTTGTTTTGGTGAAGTTCTCAGAGCTGCTGCCATCTTATTAACATGTGTTTGGTACTCATTAAGAAAAAGTGTGTGTCTGCGGATGGAAGAAGCATGTCTACAGTCTGCCTACGTGTGTGTGTGTGGAGGCATACGTGTACAGTTTGGGCTGTGTCCTGTCCCTGAGCCGCAGGTAAACATTAGCTCACAGGTTATTATTTCTCTATGACTTTCTATAATCCATGACTTCACTCCTAAAGCAACATAAAAGACCAAATTGTGAAAAATATTTAAATGACTACCAGAAAAATAAACTACTACTATTATTGCCAAAGTTAACCAGTTAGAACAATCCTAGTTTTTGTGTTTCTCAAATGAGCGTCAAAAGCTCAGAATGTCTCCATCTCCAAATAGTGATGTACCAAAAGATTTATCAAGTTATGACCAACAGTATTTCAAAATTGTGTCTGTTTGGGGTCAAGGAAAAACATCTTGGCCTTTTGATTAACACCTTAACTGCAAAACCTCAACTGCCAAACTGTCGAAGTCTTATCACTGACAGGAGGACTGCAGCAAAAAAAGGGGTAAAGGAGGGCCACACAGTGTAAGACTGCATGGTAGTTCTGCCCTGTGCCAAGAAGGTCACCAGTTCAATCCCTGTTGGGATCAATTTACACTCTGCTATGCATTATCCATAGTTATGAATGTGAGTGTTGAAATGGTTGACTCTAGATGTGGCACTGTGATGGTTGACAGGTTAATAGTCCAGGGTGTGTGCTGCACCCTCGACCCAATGACTGCTGGGATTGACTCTCACTGTTCCTCTTGACCGTTCAAATCTTTACACTTTTGGGTTTTTGCCAGTGGATTGGCATATAAGTCTGCGTTCAAAGCTATAAACTTCTGGGTGTAAGACAACTTCACTACCTACTGAGCTATAGCCATTTCCCCCAAAAAATGTGTTAGCACTATAGTTAATAAGTCCAGTCCGTGATGGTTTTTTTCCATCCATATTTTTGATATTTAGTCCTGAGTCCTTGTGACAAAGTTAACCAGACAACAGTATCTCTGGTAACTAAACTGCCCTTCAGGTCAACGTTGGTTTTACAACATAATTGTCTATCTGTTGAATTAGTAAAAACCTGCTGCTACCCCGTAACTGCCTTCACACATGACTCTGAATTCCTGATAATTGAAAAGAGGAAGTTGCAGAGCCGTTAGACTGTAAATATCAGGCAAACGGCCTCTAACCTCTGACACAGTAAAGGATCGTCCGCTCTCACCAACAGGAAGTAATCATTCTAGGAATAACATTGGTTGTAAACTGTTGATTTAGCATTTTCTTTGTATGTCAGTAAAACTCACTCCTTCATCAGGGCTTGCTTAACTATTATTGTGTGTCTGTATGTGTGTTCCTACAGGTCCATGTCTATTGCATCCACCTTGGTGGGTGAAGATGCCAAGACCAAGTTCTTAAGCAAGATGGGTCAGCTGACCACCTCTGGTGCCATGTTGGCCAATGTCTTCCAGAGAAAGAAGTGATCAATTTTAGATGGACCCTTACACTAAATTGACAACCCACTCCCCCCGGCCCCTCCCTGCTGTCTCCGGAAGCATTTCATTTAACTGCACTGGTCCATGATCGGGGACCAGGCGAGTCTGGTGTTGTTGTTAATACTATTTCTAGGACATGAAGGTTGCAGGTAAAAGCGTTGCTGGAGTCTGACTTCATCCAAACAGTGTTGTTGAGGGTGACATTTCAGAAAATAGGGTGAGGCACTGAGAGAGGGGGAGACACTGAATTCTTGATCATTTTTCCTTCAGATGCCTCTGGACTTCTTAACTCCTCTGTTCAACTCTTCCAGTTTCAGAGAACTTCTCCTCATCTTTAGGACACACAAAATGCCTGCTGGATTTCATTTTATGAGTAACAAATGTGATTTCTGAGCGAAGAGCTGCGTGAGACTTGCGTGTACTCAAATCCGACGAAGGATCGAACCACAGAAAGGCTCTGTTACGGCTCAGGTGTTAGGCCTACTTGAAACTGTAAAACAAAAAAATTGCCTTTATTTCCTCAATGTCTGATCGGTTTGTGTTTGGTTTGATTCTTATAGCTTTTTACTTGATAACTTATTTATGTCTTAATGAAGAAAACCTTACTTTATTCCAACTTCCAAAGAAATTTGCACTTCACTTAATCATTTTTGTTCTTTATTTTACGCTATATATATATGTGTATATATATATATTTATATATATGTGTGTATATATATGTTTATATATATATATACATACATATACTATAAATATATTTGTTGCGAGGCTTACTGAACAATATCACTACTGTTGATGGATTTTTTTTCTGTTTGTCTGTTTGGCAATGTTAAGCTGAGAAGAGAAAAAAAAAAAAAAAACACTGATTATAATATTTCCCTCCTGATCTGTAGCATCATGTCTCTGTGTCTTACTGAAAGTTTTTTTTTTCTAAAGTATTTATTTTCTTCTTCCTTTTTATTTTGGATATGCAGAGAATACACTGAATCCAAAAGGACGGTACTGGATGTGTATATTTGAACCAATGGTGTCCTGGTGTAATAAAAGATGGAGCTGACTGGGTGTATGTACAGTACAGGTATTTCACACACAAAGCATCTGCGGCGCAGCTTTGTGTCCACAGGTGAGACCGGCAGTAAAACAAAGCTGGTTCACAGACAAACTCTCGCTCACACCAAACACTTTGATGTGGTCTGTTGTCGGCTCATTAGCTCAAACCAAAGTCCACTTTATGGGACATTCCCTGCAGGTCAGCTCTTACTGGTACAGAAATAAAATCCTAGTGATTTCATTGTCTTTCAATATCTGCTTTACAGCCTCTCTAATCACTGCAGATATTTCACATGGCTTGAGTGAACAAAATATTTGCATATCCTAATTTAACAAAAGTTGCCAGTTGTAGTTAAACACACTGATTTTAAAAAACACGGATTTGATTTGATTTGATTTTTTTAAAAAAGGTCAAGCACAGCTGAAGAGCTGCACTCATTTATAGTTAAACATTGGGTTTATATATTTTTATATGAGTTTACAACCAGTAGTAAAGAGCAATATTTGCATATTTAGGCTAATATTCAACCATAGGTGCTGATAACTGGCCAGGTGGACAAATACTGGATACACACGGTACATGTGCTCTGTGGTTGTGGGAGTGTGTCTGTCTGTCTGTATGTTTATACGAGTGTGTGCGACACGAGGTTCCAGATATTGTGTTATTTGCTTTTTGACTCAATTGTGAGACATTCTGTTCTAAAGATGCAGTTACAGGCATAACTGCTTGGTTTCACATCCCAGTTACAGTCACTGCTGTAAAAGTTTAGCTCAACACTCAAACACAAGTCTGCCTGAATGTGTAATTCCAATAATTTTACTCAGAAATGACTCAATTCCCAATTTCCTGGATTCTTGACTCAGATCAGATGTTCAATGGAAGCTAGTTACTCCCCTGCACAGGGCGCTAAGAACACAGTAAGAATGGCACATTACCACATTATCTAAAAGCACCTGTAATTCTAGGGTGGGCGCCTGTTGATCTGTGTGGTTGTACAACTTTCAGAACCTTGTTGAGAAAAATAACTATTTGGGTCAAAAAGACAACTTTTTTTATTTGTAGTAAATATAAGTTGTAAGTTTAATAGGCTAGTTGTGCTAATTCCCATCATTTTCATTTTCAGTTTGTTGGGGGGGCTTCATTACTGCCACCTACTGCTTCTCTTTATTTTACCAGTTACCAGTTTTTACCAGCATTTTAACTTGCTGTCCAAACTTTTTTGCAGATGTCTGTGGTTTTTCTTGATGTTTAGAGTTACTATTAAAGACCTCAGAGAGGCCATTGGTTGTGTATAGCTACAATGTTTTTGTTTGGATATGTTTGGTGTCATGGCACTTTGTGTTAACACAGAACTTTTACATGTGTCATTTACTGTATGTGTCTGTTCCACAGCACTCGGTGCCCACACACTCCACCTTAACGACTTCGACTTGGGCTCACAACACCAGGGACTTTCTGAGTTGAACTCTTCTTTGTTGATGAGTTTGGACTTGAACACTGAGAAGTTAAGTCTAACACTAGCTGTGGAAATGTGTGTAGTGAGCCATACCTGTGCTGCTCAGTGTGTGTGTGTGTAAATGGCGTCGGCCGGCAGCTCTTACTCACATCGGTGACTTGTGTGAGTCACAGATCACATCTGTTTCCAAAGCAAGCAGGAGCTGTGCAGATCCTGTCTGAAAACCACAGGAACACGGCGGCCAAGCTTTAATATTTTTCTCATATTCCCCTCCGTCCTCTGTTTATCTGAAAGTCATTGCTGCCTTTTTCTGCCCTGTGTACGTTTTGTCGCAGCATCTTTTAAATTCATGTTACCAAAATAGACTTTGGCGGCTTTCTGCTGTGGAGCCAGTAATGAATGTGTTGCATTAATGTGAACCATTCAGTGGCTTATGGCGAGCATCTGTGTATGTAGTTATGTGTGTGTGTGTGTGTCTGCTGTTTTGAAAAGCTCCATTCCCTGAGCTTTGGCTTGTCATAAATGATGCTTAGCAACACAAGCCACAAAACTGACAGAACTCCACAGTCTGAGCGCTGACGGTCAGTCAGTTGATGCTGGTGAAGCAGTGTGTGTGTGTGTCTGTGTGTGTGTGTGTGTGTGTGTGTGTGTGTCTGCCTGCAGAGCATCTGCATCTTAATCCCCCACACACAGGCTACAATATGACCTCTGTGTTTGAAATAGACCTTTATGTGGACTTCTCCGCTGTAACGTTCTGATTATGTTCCACAGTAATGACTTCATCTGGCTGTTAATTGCTACTGTGTAGGCTGAAGGGGCCCCTTCCACTGAACAGCATGTTTTTAAAAACAGGAAAAGGGCAGAGTTGATGAAAAACATCTTACTTAGACTTAAACTCTAATTAGCTTTTCTACTTTCTTTTTCGTTTACTTTGGTTGCCTAGTGTCCCTCAGCTGTAGACAGCTGTACACGTTCACATGAGATAACCGGGTTTCCTCACGCCCTATTATCAGAAAAGACAGAAATTAAATTTGTATTTTTGAAAAAAAAAAGTAGGGTAAATGTGACGACACAAAGCACAACGTGAGTCTGAGTGCTGAGAAATACATTTTTATTTCAAAAGTTGTCGAACTACGTAGCAAATAAGATTTATCTTAATTAACTTTTTTTTACATTGGTTCTCAAACATTTACTTTTCCTGTCTTGCAGTACAGACGAGTTGATCTACCAAACCGTTCATGGTCGTCAGTGATTTTCTTCTCCTTTATTGGCCAGTCACATTCATGAGGATCTGAAAATCTTCAGGTACATTTGTCAAATACATGCAGTTTTTGCTTCTGTCCTTGTGTGAATTTCATTTCTCCTCCCTCTGAATTTTCTTAACCGAATCAATGGTGACAAGTCTGGTTCTTCACTCTCTGCCCTGAAAACATAGTTTCTAAACTGACAGAAAAATCTCTGGGGTCATTGTGCAAAACGTGGTGGGCTACAGCGTGTTCCTGCATGTCAGGAGCCTTTGACTGATGCTCGTTTACTACTCAGTCTCATTACCCAAACCTGTCACTGGAAAACTTGCAGAATGAGGAACCTTGGCGTAGACGTATGACCTTTGTCTTACTTTGCCTCTATTCAAACATCTCAAGATCTTTGTTATAGGCAACAATTTCTGAATTAGTGAATATTATTTTTTGTGTATTTGTATTTTAGTTTTTGCCAGTAAAACAAGTGTATTCATTTCCCCCCTACATTTCCTACATTACTCATCCTTCTATTTTTATCATCCTTTTTCTCCATTTATTTAATTGCAACATCGAATAAAGAGCTTGCCTCACTTTTTTTTCTTCCCTAATTCACCTTTCCTCTTTGGTGCCAACCCACATCCATCCATCCATCAATCCATCCATCCACCCAGGGCTGCAACATGTAATTCAATATTTGCATAACTGTCACCTTGAAAAGAACATTTTTCTTCCTACTTTTAAATCTCATGCCTGTTACCTTGAAGAGTTGGGCTGTGTCCAATGTGCAATGCAAATTCTGAGAGACACCTTTTTTTCTACCTGCAGAGAAAAGCTGTGCTTTTGTTATGGTTGCCGTCATTTGGTGTGCTGAGATCTCAGTGCTCCAGGAACTGTTCTGAGACCAGCCCACTGGGGTCCAGGATGAGTGACCAGTGATGAAGGAGGAAGTGAAAAGTGACCACATGCTTTGGTTGCACTGGTGACTTCAAATCTCAGTTTGTCTGTGGTGTGAAGTCATCTTTGTGAATGCAGAAGTGTACGTAAGTCTCTGAAGTTTATTTTCAAAGGAGATCAACGCCTTAGTCACATTGGGCTAAATGGATTAATATAAACTGAGATTTATTTGCAACATGGCCATAAAAATGGACAGGTTCAAACATGCACAGGGTGAAACAAATCACAATTTGAACGAGTGAATATGTCTGTTCTCTAACCCTTTCTTTATTAAATAAGTCAGAGCAAATATCCAACATAATCAAACACACTGAGACTTTTTTTGACTTTTCCACGTGAAGAATGACAAGGTGGTGGGAGGAGCCCTCACCCTCCTTCCTGAGCTCTCTCAACTTTTACAAGCCGTTGCATGTATCCTTCCCTCACTACGCGTGAGTAAAGGAGGGAAGAGCAGTGGAGGCGAGGTGGGAACGAGCTCACCGGGAATGAGGGCGCAAGAGTGTCCAATGAGACGCAGTGGAGGCTCTGCCACATCACTTGCGCACAGGGAAAAGTGATTAACTGAGAGGGTTTTTTAAAGGAAGATTAAGATTTCTTCTTTTTTATTTTTTATAGATTACAGTTTTTTCCTCAGACGGAGTTGGTTTGTGTTGTCCCGCAGAGATGAGACTGATCTTTTCAGCCAGTTGGATATTCCGCGGCTGGATAACGTGTGCGTTCTTCAGCTTTTACGCACAGGTAAAACACACACTTTTGCAAACTAAAATATAAAAAAAGAACAGGTAGTGTCTGTGTTACAAAAACTCCCCTAAAATCGTGTTTTTAGAATGCATAAGACTGATATTTATATTGTACTTCTGCCTGTTTCTATGAGCGTCTTGACCTGGAGATTTTTTCTCGTCTGTAGCGCAATGGGGGGCGGGGGGGGGGCAATGGAAGTAGATGATGGTTACATTTTTATGCAGGGACACTGACTGGAAACAGTTGTGTTTGGGTAGGGTCCACCTCCCCAGCACTGACCGCAAAAACGCTGCTGGCAATAGGACGCTCCTCTCCCTGAACCAAACACTCTCTCCCGGTCCCCAGCGGGACTGGCGCTGGCCAAATGGCTCATCAAGAGCCGCTGTTAGCCCGGCACCAGAGGAGGTGTGTTTGTTAATGTGGAGCAGAGAGCACAAACGGTATCCAGAGAGGTAGCCACCGGTATGAGAACAGCAGAGATGTTCTTGCATCAAATTTCGCTGTGCAGCTTTTTTGGCACTGTGAAGCGTCTGGATCTGGATCTGGATCTGGATCTGCACTCAGTGCTCTGCTGCTCCGAGGCTTTGTTGACAAGACCTGAGATCGAAAAGACCAAAGTGCACAATGTCTCAGCTGATGCAGTGTCACTGGAGCATTATAAGTAGGAGAGAAGAGTGAGTGGCCAAGAACAAATTGTCATCCATGTTGTTGTTTAGCCCAAGAGGCTAACTCTGTCCAGGTGGAGGAGTTTATGAGATGTGGTTGAAGTGGTGGGACTGCTGGGCACCAGACATCTATCACTGCCTGTCTCTCTGTTACCACTTTAACTGTGTGTCTGGAATAGAATCCCTAGTTCCTCTGTGTGTGTGTGTGTGTGTGTGTAAAAATGGATGATTTTCACAGACATGAAAATGTGTTACAGGGGAAATGACTCTGAGTGTTCTGCAGAAATACTGAAGGAAAGAAATCGATCTTCTTTGCAAGTGACACTGCAAACACTTTGGCCTCCGTTTGTTCTCACCAAGCTCTCTGCCCATTACTGACTCATTGTGTCCGTGTCGAATTCCATTTCATTTTATGTGATTTGTTCTCACAAATCCATTCCATGACCAGGGTGGGATTGTTTCAAGATGTTTGCATGCTTTTTTTCATTTTTTTTATTTGTAAGTATCTGATAATACCTGATGTCATTCCTGCCACCGTTCATCTGTGCAGCGGTGACATCATCACTGTTTTTCCTTATGTGTGCAGTTCCTTTCTGCCCTCTGCCCATTGACCATCACAGTTGTTATGTCTACCCTGGCCTGCAGAAACAAACTGGATTTATCTCCTCAGGCACTCAAGTGATTCACAAGTCTGCAGCTCTGCTGTAAATACCCTGTTAGCCCTGTTTGTTTAGAAAAGGAAAAGTACTTACTGGGATATTTGCACATCTTTTACCACTGTTACTGCTGAGGAACTTTGATTCATTGAAAAACTTCTGAAATTGAGTTTCTTCCTTCAAAAGTCAAATGTGCAGGACTTGGGTTTAGCCTTGGTAAACATGCATTCCTGTTCTAAGGGTTAAAAACGCTTGTGCAACTCTGTTGTTCCTTAGTAACTGAATCCAGTAATTCAGTTAAAATTACAAATTCAGCTTTAAACTCTCTCTGCAAGTTAATAGAAGAACTTTCAATGTGTTCTCTTTTATGACATAAACCACACGTGGGAAAACAGAGGAGCAACATTCTAGACTTGAGAATTTTGCAATGCAAAAAAACTTTGGTCCTCCCATCCCACTTCTTCTTCTTCTTCTTCTTGGTCTCAAGAAAAAAGGGGGAAAAAATCCTGAGTACTTTACCATTACTTTTAATTAGGGCCAATTCTTGGTTCTTTATATTATTTAGCAATCACTCTCACTTCAACCAGTACTCATTGTGTTTACGGGATATGAACAGTAAACAAACCAAATGATAGTATTTCCATCGTGAATATTGCAGTTCGACGATCTCAGGTGCAGCATTGTAATGACGCATGCTGTAGAAAAATGTAAAACGTTTATAGTCTGCAACTTTCTAAAAGGGTTTAAAGTACATATATTTGAGCAGGTGGAACTTCAAAGGCGGGTATTTTATGACTTCTCGAGACTCAAACCACAGGTGTACACAAAGTTTCAAGTGTTGTGCAATGTGCTTTTACAGCACCTTATCATGAATCACTGAAACCCCGAGAGGCCTTAAAGCCACGCTGTGCTTCTTTAGGCCCGGTGCCAGTGGCTGCTCTGACCGTTATGCAAATTTTCTTGTACCCTAACAGAAGGAATGCGCTCTCTGATAGGATCGGCAAAGTGGAAAAGGATTACTGGAGATTTCTGAATACAGCTGGAGCAGTGGAACACCCATTATTCCTAGTGACTATATATATATTTTTTAAATTTCCCTTTTTTCCTTTTTAGAGTTTTATACCTACACACACACACACACTTGAACATAACTGTATGCATGCAACCAATGGAGTGTGACTCCTGAGGTCGGATGTTCTATCTTTATCTATATGATAACCCATAATCATATAGGGTGGACCTGCTCTCTTCCTTTTACATATACTGTATATTTAGCATCTCAAAATATACAGCCTCAAATAAGTGACAGCCGTTGTTTAGATGTGGCCGACCAAGAACACTGTTCCCAGCATTCCTCAGGGCTGCTTGTGTGACCTGACCACTGCTGTCCATCCTGTCTACCGTTCATGACGCTGCTTTCCGTCACAGTGTTAATACAGACGCATTAACATTAGCATGGAAACACGTTCTTACCTCTGTCACTTCTCTGCGCTGCAGCACATGGTCCTCATTAGCGCTGCGGTCCGTGCTAAGAGCACCATGCGTCATTATCCCTCTGCTGAGGTTCTAAAACAAAGACTCGCTGATGTGCTGCAGGGTAATTGGTGGTAATTAAACGCCTGCCAAACGTTTGTGTCAGACGCCGCAGACTTTTCAAACGTGGAGGTGTGAAAAGCAGGCAACGAAAAAAAAACAGCGGAGATAACCGTTTTTTTTTTTTAAAGCAAAGGTTTTTCTTTAAAATGGCTACATGTGATTACATTGTTGAAGAAGCTAAACCATACATGCAATAGTGCACCATGGGAAATAATAAAAGGCCAAGGACAGTGGGTATAATAATAAGCAGGCACTTTCGAGTGCATTTCTGTTAAAACGCTGCTGCAGTTTCAACTTTCTCAACTGCACAGACTGCTGGACGATCCACTGGCTTCAGCAGCATCGGTGTATAATTTCATGGGAAAAATAAACTCGAGGAAGTGCTGAATTCAAAAAAAGAAAGAGGGTCAGGTCTGAGGTCGGAGCACACAGCACAGTCTGGCCTATAGGTTGTGTTTTTCTACATTTATATAGATACTGTGGCTTTGGCATGGTTTCTGTCATAACAGCCAAATTCTCTAATTCAGCAGTGTGGTGAGGCTGGCTGCTGGGTGGGTGCGCTGTGAGTGTGTGAGACTGCTTGTTTTTCACCTTTGTGGGATTTCTTTTTTACTAGAGCTCCCAGATGTTTGACTGCAACAGGGTCTGGTTCTACGCGTTAATGACTTAAAACTTTTGGCATTGACTGTAGATTACAGAACCATTTACGCAACAACAGATAAAAAAAAAAGGTTTTGAGGCCTGTCCTGTGATTTAGTGACTCATCCATGAGATAGGTAGCTACATTTATAATTGGTTAGCTACGTTTTAAACATTGATTAAGGGTAGAAAAAAAACATCTGTAGTCGGACATTTAGTAATTCCACTACAATTAGAGTTGATTGCACTTAAACCCACTTGGTTGTCTCTGTTCAGCCGGGTATCGTACAGCTTTGGTTTGTTGGTTTGGAGGCTGAGCAGCACTGTGGTCAGGTGCTTCTGACATTGTGGAAAGAATTCCTGGACATGTCTTGGAAAAGTTCTAACCATGCTCTTCCTCTCATTACTCACTGCCATCTCAAAATATCTCATTTGAGTGGAGTAACGAAGGAGACAGACACAGTTATTGTGAAGCAGGGGATACATCACGGCTCAATGGTGGAAAAAATTGTTTTTTTTGATCCTGCAGCTCATCGTTCAAAATAACAGGCTCTGACACTTTTGTCTCCTGTTCTACAATCAACTGTTTTTTTTAATCCCACACAATCATATTATGAGCTACACTTATACTACACAATAAATCACAAAAAACCCAAGATATTGTGGTAATGTATTTCAGAATGTGATTGCAAAGATTGGCTCCCGTTCCCCACGGGATCCTCAAAGGATAAGTGGAACAGATGAGAGATTGATGGAGTCCAAACCCAGCCAGTGTGATGAAAGCCATTACCTAAAAGACTCCAGATGCTGCAGAAAGTGTGGGCCAGGTAATACAGGCACCAAAACACCCAACATAACCTCCTAATATCCGCAGTAAAACAGACAAGCAGCACCGCTGAGCTCTTGTGGTCACAGTCATCCGTCTTCTCACTCCCATCCTCTCTCTCTTTCTTTCTGCCTTTTTTTTTCCTTCTCTGACAGGATTCCGTGTACACGCTCACTGCACTGATGCCCACCAGACAAAGTGCATTAAGTGTAATCGTGGTGAATACCAGCCCAGCTGGACTGAGGAGGAACGCTGTCTCCAGCAGAAGTTCTGCGATAAGGGTCAGTTCTTTCATGTGGATCAGAAAGACATGGAATTTAGTTCTAAACACATTTGGTATTTTGGTTTGTGATTTTGGTAAAAACATGAAAACCAGATTTTTTTATATATATATATTCCTTTAGGCCATACTCTGAAATTTCCTTGTTCTAACACAGTGATTTCCAACCATTATGACACATTAGTGTGCTGTGACTATAAAAACAAAAAAATAAGACCTTCATACTTGATGAAATGACTTTTGTGTCTTCATTTCCTGCGAGTATATCAGGGTTGTGTTCAACTAAACAGGCACAGGTTTCACACTGAATACATGGCTCAAAAACACTGTTCTAATGTGACCTGTAGGTAAGGGTTTCATGGAGCGACCTGAGGACCCTGTGGCGGAGGTGCCCTGCCGTTGCCGCCCTCAACTGCAGTGCCATCCGATCAACTGTGAGTTCTGTGAGTTGATACCCACCTGCAGTGCAGGATATGGACTTGACCTGGATCCTGGTGAGTCAAAGCTGGAGGAAAGTGTCACTCAGACGTACACTTAGATGTGATGTAATAACTAGTGCTGATTTGTACTGTACTGTATGTTCTGTTGATTCTAGAGTCTACCAATGGAAGAAAGGTCTGTGTAGCTTGTAAGAAAGGGTTCTTCTCTGCTGAGAACGACAGGGAACAATGCAAGTCATGGACTAAGTAAGTGCGGACACACACATACGCACACACGCACATACACAGACCCATAAAAACACACCACTTGCCAAACGCTGTCTCCCCTCGACGGCTGGCCGGATCTGCATTGACAGTGATGATAAACAGTGGGATAAAATGCTGTTTATTTTTTCATATTTTCCTCTCTTTGTTCATAACAGATCTCAGCAAACACATTTAGTATTTAGTTAAAAAAGCAACCAAAACACACATCCTTATTTAGGTTTTCCTTCTTACTCTCTGTTTCTGTGATTTCATCCTGGGTTTCTTTTTTCCAGTTGTAATGCTGAGGGCAGAACTGAGACACTTCCAGGCAGTGCACAGGCCGACGCTGTGTGTGGCCCACCCATAACTGGTAGGATGTACAGCATAAACCATGCACCATTCAATGCATATTTATAAAAGTCAAAGTCAAGTGTATTACTTGTGTTTTTTTATACATGTATCCTGAGTGGCAGTAAATAAAGATATGAGAACTGAGTTCCACTTCTTTGCAGGTGCAGCTTCGTCCTGGGTCATTGTTTCAGTTCTGTCAGTCATCACTATTCTCTGTCTGCTCATACTTCTCCTTTTCTGCTACAAGGACAAACTGAAATTACTCTCTGGTAAGTTACAGCCTGTGACGTACTCTGTTCTTCATTGTGTTTGTGACCATGAGCTGATTTTAATCTGTTTGTCCAGTAAATCTGCGGTCCTGTGTTCAGAATCTAAAGAGGACCAGGATTCAGCAGGTAGACTCCTCTCACGTTTACCGTCGTCATCAGGTCATTCAGACGTTATTGTTTCACTCTTTACTCTCTTCTTACAGGAGACCTTGGCCCCTCTTTACCCCAGTGGAGGTCCTAAGTATGCACCATGTGAGACGACCAAGTTGATTTGTCAAACGCCTCAGAGTCCAGCAGATGAACCCTCGTGCACATTCTCCGCCTCAGCTCCAGACGTCAAAGTCTCGCTGCCATTCACGGAAGGAATGATGGAGATAGAAGCTACCACCAAGAAGACAGCAATGGAGAATCAGAGTGAGGGATCTGGAGAGCCAGAGGAGGTGTCAGAGGAGGAAGGGGAGGTTGTGAGTGTGTCCCCTCTTTTGACAGGTTCCTGTGTGTGCGTCATTCCTATCCGTGAGCCACTGGAAGTAGGGGAAAACGAGGACTGCAGTCAGGCTGTCAGCCCTGGAATAACAGTCACCTGTTCCTGTAAAGGGCTGGACGGAGAGAGAGAAGGAGAGAAGTGTGCTAAAGAAGAGAGGGTGGAGAGTGTGATGGTGGTTAGTGAAGCAGAGATCGGCGATGGGACTAAGGAAAAGATGGTTTTGTGTAAGAGCGAAACAGGCGCTGCATCTCTTGTCTCTCTCTCAGCTCCTCTCCTCCACTCCTCTTCTGTCGTCCCTCCGTCCAGTCCACTTCCTGAACTCTGCCCTCCTTTGGCCCAGGCTCTGATGACACGAGAGCTCAAACCTTACATGACTGACAGGTCACTGGTAAAACAGGAGGAATTGTACAGACTGACAAGCGTGGAATCTAGTTCATCAGAGAACAGTACGACCCCTGCCATGACCTCCATCAGTCCCTTGATGACCTCCACATCTGTAGGGAATCTGTACCTGGAGAAGACTCCTGAGGCCTCTGGTCCAGAGCGAGGTCAGGGAATTTTCTGTGAGGACGGTGGAAGAAGCAAGCTCTCATCTGGAGAGTCAGAACCGGAGTGTTCACCTGAGAGCCTTCACACTCAACTGGCTGAACCAACTCTTACCTCAGGTATGAGACTTCACTACACTTACTTATTACACTGCACACACACACACACACACACATATGATGTCATCAGGACTTGAGCTTGTCCTCTCGGGTTCTCTACAGGTTTATCTTGAGAGAACGGTTTTCTGTCCTCAACACAAGAAAGTCAACATTTGATATAGCCTGTGTCACACCTGTATTCCATCATGCTCAATTAGCTTGTGTTACCCCTTAATAGTGGCGTTGTCGCCACATACTGTTATGGAGACTTTGCCAATTTTTTTCCTCAATATTTTTTTTACCATTGATCCACTGAAAATTCCTCCACGACACATTTCTGGAATTAATTTGAGAATCTATGCTTTTATGAATAATGTGTTATTAGAAACACTTTGAGCCCTGAGTTGTGTCTGCCAGGTCGACTCTTGTGTTCTTTGTTTGTCTAGGCAGTCAGTGTTGAACTGCCACAGGCTAGTACCCATACATGATTTTGATACACTGCATCACACTGTTCTCTCTCCACAAAGTAGGAGGGTTGAGCTCCCAAGAATAACAGACTGAAATTCATGTTGGTTTCAATGGAAAGTTTTACTGTTGCATGGTTGGACTTGTATTGTTCTCACAAAGACCTTTATGCGCCGCCAAAGTGAAAAGTCTGTGGTAAACATATTTATGCAGAGAGCCTCGGCCAGTGGAGTGGTTACTGTTCCTTGCAAAAGCAGTATTAGTGATCAGACAGTGGTTCGCTCAGACCTGGGTATCATTATATGAGTTATTGTCGGAAACACAATTAATGGCAAAGATTTGGTTCTTTAACATTAATGATTTTTTTTAGGAATATTTTTCACTGGACCTGCTTTTGTAGATTGGAGCTCAGAGTTCTGGAGGACCACACAGTCTGAAGCAACAACAATGTGTGCTTGATGAGCTCGAACCACCAGAACCACACTCACTCTAACATGCAATGTTGTGTGTGTGTGTGTGTGTGTGTGTGTGTGTGAGTGAGTGAGTGAGCATCAACGCACATCAATGTGACCTGTGCCTTTCACGAAGCTCCTGTTTACCCAGAGTTCCACTGGGTTGCGCAAAATGACCACAGCTTTAATTAAAGCAACATGTTTGCAGCTTGAGTAATACATCTACAACCCTGCCCTCTCTGCAGACGTACATATACACACAATCAAACACACACACGCAGGATCTTGTGAGAGCTATTTTTGACAACTGCGTACTTTAATGACACGTTGGGAAGACCGTTTCCCATCATGCAGTAATTTTACTTGATTGAGTCGACTTCCCGCTCATTTTATGTAATGAACAAGAGGTCAGAGTCTTTTACCTGTCTGTCTGAGGTCTCAGAGAACATGAAATCTATCCAGTCTACTCCAACTGCTACTTCAAAGATACCGACGGAGGATATGTTGGGTTTTTTTCTCTTCTTTTACCACATTTTTTTCTTTTACCACATTTAGGTGCATTCTGTTATTACTTTTCCAAGTTGGTTTCCTTAATCACGTCCTATAATTACCAACAGGAAGTTTGTTCATTCTGTGTTTCTTCTCTCTAAATATCCTCCTCTTGTATAAACTGCTAAGCTAGCTGCTATGAACAAACATGTCTTTGGATACTGATTTTTAATGGTGACTGGAAAAGTTGACCCCTACCCACATAGGCACAGATAAAAAAAATCTAAAATTATTCAATTTGATTTTCTGCGACCCACCCATTCTGAGCCCTTCATGCGAACCCCAGAACCTTTGATAGTAAATGGAGTTGTCACAGCAATAATCTCATCTGTTGACCATTTAGCAACATGACCAAAGCTGTGATGGAATATTTTTCATTTTGCTTAAGGGCTCATTAGCAGTGCTAATGATCCACATCCATCGTGCAAGTTGTGGAATCATAAGGGCTCATTAGCAGTGCTAATGATCTAAACTAGATCTGAAACTAGCAGCTAACCAGGTGAAATAACTGTGGATTTTAATGGAAAGCTGTGCCCCACCGAGTTCTCAATGAGATGATACAGACAGCGGAATGTGGTAGAGTTCCCATTTACCCCTGTCAGAACTGTTGAGGGTCCAAAAAAAATCAGCTTGGTATTAAGAGAGGATAAACAGAAGAAGCCATGCAGATTCCAGGGAGCTTTGTTTTCCAAGTTGTGGTGAAGTGTCATAGCTCGGAGCTGGACCTCTCAGACGGATCTTCTGGGAAAGGCAGTCAGACGGGGGGAGTGAAGAGACACACTCTCTGTGTCTGTGTGTTTGTCTGCTCTTTGCTGAATGTGTGTGTGCGCTGAAAGATTCCTTTCTTGAATTTATTGTGATTATTTGTGTGAGTGTATGTGTGTGTACTCACGCTGCATGTGAAGGGGTGAAACATGAGCTGTGAGTCACGGAGGGTCGACTGGAAATTCAGACAGACGGCTGGATAAAATAGGAACCAGAAGCTTAATGTGTTGAAGGCTGGCTTACAAACAAAGACGCAGAGTTTATTTTATAAATTCACCTGGTTTACTCAAATTCATAACCGAAGGCTGGTTTAGTTAGTAGACAGTGGGAAATTTGTGCAAATTTGTTTATGCAAATGATGTTAAGGCAACACAAGTCAAATCCAGAACCACAAAACTGGATGCAGTTAAGGTTGCAAGAAGTTGAACAAAGTTCAACTCTCAAGTAAAAGGTTATGTTTGAAGAGGTCTTCGGTTTCTCACACTCCTGGATTTTGGATACTCCGAAACAGATTTGGTGAAAAAAGGATATGATGTAGCATATCTCTAGGACGGTGCGGTCACGGTGGTCATCACGCCTACTGTTCATTTGTCATCTGAGGTTGGCCAAGAGGGAGAGGAATTTAAAGACATCGTCTTACGCAAATGCACCACATATGTGAATAGTTCCTAGAGCAGAGGGAAGTGAAGATGTTGATTCATTTCTCTAAAAACTTAAAGTCATAGATGAAGAACAAGAAGAGCAACAAATGACATTTTCCACTCCCAAATATTTCCGTTTTTCATCTTTTTTTTTTTCTCTTCAGGTCAGGTGTCGGGGAACCACAACGCCACCTTCATCTCCAGTGGTCAGGTGATGAACTTCAGCGGCGATGTCATCGTTGTGTATGTCAGCCAGTCGTCCTTGGGCAGTGATGAGGCGGGGAAGGAGGATGCCTTCGGGAGCCCTGTCCAGGAAGAGGCCAGTGAGGCAACAACAGCCTTCCAGGGCAGCCTGAGGTCACAAGGGGATTCCACCTCCCACACCGCAGTGTCGAACGAGACTCTGCCAGTTCAAGAGGTGATGGAGGAGCAGGCACTGGGGAAGTGAAGGGTTTTGTTTGTCTGTGATCCGCTCAGATACAATGATCTCTGATCATTACTGTCACCTACAGCCAATCAATAATGAGAAAAAATCTCCCTATCAATCAGCTTTAAAAAACTCAGAATACAGTCAATTTGTCTGTTGAACTCCAACATGAAGGTAAGTGTCTGTGGCCACACATTGTCAATTTTCAAAATATAATCTTCAATAACTTTCCCACCTCAGACGTTAGCCAGTAAAAGCCGCCTCAGGCATCTCTTACATGCCATTTTCTGTTTTCCAGTGGAAAGCTTTAGGCTCTTTTAGATGGAAACTCCCTTCCATCCAGACAGTGGTGGGAAATTTTGCTAGGAATTGGATGTGGGACTAGAGTTGAAACTGTAAGAACATCCTGTTTTTATGGTTGTATGAAAATTACAGATGTGCCTTAATAATAATAATAAAAAAAGTTAATGTTCTATGTTCCATTAGCCACACTTTTAATATTGAATAACTAAGATTGATATCTGTGGAGTCACCAGTGAACATTTAACCTTAGGCAGTATCAGCACTTTGCCTCACAAGAAAATAACCACACTAGGGAGATGATTGACTGTTGTGAAAGGTAATACTATAAGAAAAAGGAAAAAAAAAAATCCAGTGCTTCCATTTCAACACATCATTCAACATCATTTCAACATTCCAAGGAGTGATATTTTTTTGCAGGACAATCAAAAGCTATTTTAGAGTAAATGGTACAGAAAAACCCAAATTCATGGTGTGATGTATGTTTATGTTTATTTTGTTTTTTTAATTTTTTTTTTTTTTCGAATTTCCTCCTATTGCATCTCAGGTGCAGTTTGTGTCTAAGAAAAATGCTGTGCATTTGATAAGCTATTTTATTACTGATTTCTTTTGTTTTGTTATGTTTGAAATGTGCAAGACTTAATGAAGAAAAAGGAAAGAAATCCGGCTGCCTAATTTTCTTTTTTTCTTTTTTCTTTTTTACAAAAGTGAATTTAGATAGTAGGATTCGTATGGGATTTGCAGTAGCTTTGTACATATTTCTAGGGAAAACCATGGTGATGTAATGAGAACCGACATTCTCTCTGTATTGATTTGATTTATGGATGTGCTCAGTAAAAACGCCTGGTGAAACGTGCCCCTTCTCGGAAACGGCACCATTGGATTAGAAGCTCGTATGTATGAACCCTTATTATGATTATTTAAATATCAATCATACATGTTGCAATGAATGACTGAAAGATTATTTTTGATTGAATAAAATATGTTTTGCATCTAATCCTTTCTGGGAAGGCTGCCATTCAGCCTCCTGTGGTTTCTCCCCTGTCAGCTTTCCTATTCTGAGCTCCACCAAATTACAACCAAAGAGACATTAATCTCCACGAGATGATCTATAATCTTTCTTGAAGCAAATGCTAATTACACATATGGCCCGAGCCCTTCTTTGTCTGCATCCATGTGTCAACAGACGTGGATGAAGGCAGGCGGCCTCTCATCCTGCCTGGCAACGCTGAGCATCTGTGAGGAGAAACTAATCTAGTCGTCCTTCAGACCGACCAGCGTCACACAAAGACCACATGAGAAGAATTGGGAGTGCTTATTTAAACCTGGCTGGGCAGCTGGGCAGCTGGACTGCGTGTGTGTTGGTGTGTGTGTGTGAGAGAGAGCACTTGTTTAAGCTTATTTAATGCCATTTTAAAAACAGGAAGTTGTGACTAACTGTCACATGGCTTACATGAAATCTGGCTAAATACTTTCTGTGTGTGCCTGTCTCTCTTTCTACTAATGTGGGAAGTTCTTAAGCACTGCTTGCTGCTACCCTTCACCCCCTAGTGGCAGCTGACTGTTAGCGCACGTTAGACATAAATCAAACGAGATTTAAACATATTAATGATCCTTGTGGTTTTACTTAACAGCAATAAACAGACAATAAAAAACAACAACCCACACAGCAACGACGCCACAAACAAAAAACTAAATCATTTCAAATATCTAAATAAATAAATAAAACGTGTAAAATACTTAAACAAAAAAGCATAGAAAAATAACACAACCAAATGGAACAACTGTTTATAATTAGGCCTTTTTTATATTCTTTTTTATTGTCTTCTTTGTTGCAAAACAACAATCCTTTTCTTTTCATTTCCTTATTTTACAACCAAAATATAAATACTTTTGAAACTTTTTTAAATTCTTCTTTTCCACAGAAGTCTCAGGAGATGAAACTGGATTGTGAGTCGTAAAGGTCAGAAAAAGGTTAATACATTTTACTATCACCAATTGTTACTGGGGACAATATTGTTTTTCACCTTTGGGTGTTTAACCGTTAATAATCTGTAATCATACAGTTATTCACTGGTATTTCCCATGTTACACCACTGGGGGCACCTTCTTATATTTCTTATAGCCGGGCCTGGTCACGCCACTGTTCCATTAAAGCTGCTAAATTACTGTGGTATCTGTAGTAGAAGGAGCTGTTTGTTTAATATTGGTGCAGGTCCAACTTTCACACCCTCATAATGTGGCTATTACTGCTTGAAAGCTGTGACTGGAACAGTGATATCACAGGAGCAGGACATGAGAAGTTAGTCCTTCCTTTGGAAAGCCCCAAACTAGTCACAGCAGTGTGATACTGAAATTACAGCCACCTCACCTGCGCACTCCGGTTTTCATTTCTTATCTGCAAAATGAGTTGACAAAAGGATCAGTTCAAGTCACGAGTATTTGCTATTGCTTTTAATAATTTACATCACTGGTTCAGTTAAAATGATATCCTTTCCTTAACTTGCTAATTTGCTTAAATACAGTACACCTGTTATGTCATACATACAGAGGTCGGACCATGAAAAAACAGGATTAGCCACAAATTAGCTACAAGATTCATGCGCCCTTAGAAACTCAAAAATAATCTTCGGGCTTCATCAATAGACAAAATATTTCCTGTTTTAACTGGACAACAGAGACACTGCAGCAGAACTCATGTGCTCACTCTGTGGAACTTTCATCTTAATCAATTATTAAAACCAAACTCTGGAGACAGAAGGGTGTTTGTACTTGAGGGTGACGTCCCACTTAATTAAAGCTGTTTCGGGGGTGGAAATAAAGCAATGCTTCATTTTCTCATCTCTTTCTCCTTTCACTCGTCCTCACTGTCGTTTTCTTGCCTCCTGCTTCTTTACTCTGCACTTCAATGAAACCTCAGTGAGATTTAAGGAACAAAGATGCAAACAATCAGGTAAGAAACATCAGTTGGTGTAAACAGTGTTTATGTTTCTAAAAGTTTTGATAGTTGATATGTATTGCATATTCAGACTGGAACTATTCCACTGTGTAACGCATGGTCATACGTTGGAAATAAAGGGCCAGTCCTCTGTTCTTTAATATTTTTAGCTCCTGAACTCTTAGCTCCTGAACTTTATGACTTTATTATGTTATTTATATTATACTTTATTCCACAGGTCTCTGTTTATTCACAAGTGGACCTCAGATGTGTCTCTGGAGGGAAAGACAGCCATAATAACAGGAGCCAACACTGGAATTGGGAAGGAGACAGCGAAAGACCTGGCCGCCAGAGGCAAGTGACCAGAACGCTTTTGTCAAATCTCATTATTAGCTGAAGGTTTGTCGGGGATCCTCAGATTAAAGATTAGATGAAGTATAGCTAATCTCTGTCTCAATGTGCACGTACAGACACGTACAGTGCTTTAAGAGAACCCAATCTGTGCAGGTGCTCGGGTGATTCTGGCATGCAGAGACATGGCCAAAGGAGAGCAGGCTGCCCGTGACATCATGAGGGAGGTGGAGGGAGCCAGGGTGTTGGCCCGACAGCTGGACCTGGCCGACACCAATTCCATCTGCCAGTTTGCGGAGAATGTCTATAACAGTGAGTGACACATACAGTAAACACATACACACATACAGTAGAACACACTCTTCAAATTAAATCTGTTTTCCAGGTGAAAAGAATCTTCACGTCCTAGTCAACAACGCAGGCGTGGCTATTTGCCCTCATGACATAACAGTGGATGGATTTGAGATGCAGTTTGGAGTCAATCACTTGGGTTGGAATAAAAATATTAACATTTTGAGTTTAAAGATTTACAGGAGAAGTTAGGTTTCAATCTTTATTTGCAGAAATGTGATAGAAATAATTGTTCTTTTTTTATTTACCTTAATGAACTCTTGTCATGTACATCAGCTGTGGCTTCTCCATAAAGGCTGCCACGTTGGTTCAACAGGGTTTTGCATCAATTTATATGTAGATCATCTCATTATATTCCTAAACGCTTAGACAGGGATGGTAAAGCTTATGATGTGAGAACTCAAGCTTTATCAGGTATCATGGATCAACTCAGTACCCTTTATACTTGGTGTCTGATCCAGTAATCCAAGTCTTCATTTATGCCATATTTGTTCATTGTTTTTATAAAAAAGAATTGCCTGTATCCTCATTTAAAACAAGTCCCAGAGCTACAGGACAGAAGTTATGATTTTAAAATTAAAAGTGTTGAATTTTAATTACTAAAGCACATTAAGACTAATCTCTCATCTCTTTGATGTGTTTAACAATTTTATCATGTAATATAATACAAAACACCAGTGTATTTTACTTGATTAGGTTTTTCCCCACAGAAAATGAACTATTTAGAGTTCTTAGCCAAACTTTATGGAGGAATCGTGTGTCAATTATTTAAGCTTTGCAACAGGATTTGGTCTAGATCCATCTAATTTTTTTTCTAGAACATTTGCAAAGAACTCTATTTTAATCTTAAGATGTGGCCTTGTGTTTGGCACATTCCCCTGAAATCTATAAAAATTTGAATTCTCTGATCAAAAAAACAGGGTATTGAGAAAAATACAGTATGTTTGTTATTTTTACATATTGACTTGAGTTTTTCTTACATATTTCTGAAGGTCACTGTATTTCTCTCTCCACCAAGGTCACTTCTTCTTGACATTTCTCTTACTGGACTTGCTGAAGCATTCAGCTCCATCTCGTGTTATCAACGTGTCGTCCTCAGCTCATACCATGGGGAGGATCAACTTTGAAGACCTGAGGAGTGAGAAGGACTATCACCCGGTCAGTGCCTATGCACAGAGCAAGCTGGCCAACATCCTGTTCACCAGGGAACTTGCCAAGAGAACTGAAGGTAAGAAAAGTAAGCTACCACTATATATTTTTTTCAACCTCTTGTCTGTTCTTTAGCGTCATTGTGGCTTTCTTGTGCATGAAAATCTGACACGGACAGAATTTCTTGCCAATGTGAGAGTCTCATGTTCAAACCACATCTGCTCTGGGCAACAAGAAGAACGAAGAAAGACAAGTCTTTTAAAATAAACTAAAGATTATCTGACCACGCTTTGCTTGTGAGAAAAAATAGATACAAAAACATTGCAGAGGGAGGGAGGTACAGTAATTTTACTTGTTTTTTATGGTCTGTATTATCATTGTACCATGGGGATACAACGAAACTGAGCCTCTGCTTTTAACCTATCACAAACGTGAGCAGTGGGCAGCTTTAAGTGCCCGGGGAGCAATGTGTGGGGACGGTGCAATGTGCATATTAAATAAAGTTGTTCAAACTAAAGCACATTAAGACTAATCTCTCATCTCTTTGATGTGTTTAACAATTTTATCATGTAATATAATACAAAACACCAGTGTATTTTACTTGATTAGGTTTTTCCCCACAGAAAATGAACTATTTAGAGTTCTTAGCCAAACTTTATGGAGGAATCGTGTGTCAATTATTTAAGCTTTGCAACAGGATTTGGTCTAGATCCATCTAATTTTTTTTCTAGAACATTTGCAAAGAACTCTATTTTAATCTTAAGATGTGGCCTTGTGTTTGGCACATTCCCCTGAAATCTATAAAAATTTGAATTCTCTGATCAAAAAAACAGGGTATTGAGAAAAATACAGTATGTTTGTTATTTTTACATATTGACTTGAGTTTTTCTTACATATTTCTGAAGGTCACTGTATTTCTCTCTCCACCAAGGTCACTTCTTCTTGACATTTCTCTTACTGGACTTGCTGAAGCATTCAGCTCCATCTCGTGTTATCAACGTGTCGTCCTCAGCTCATACCATGGGGAGGATCAACTTTGAAGACCTGAGGAGTGAGAAGGACTATCACCCGGTCAGTGCCTATGCACAGAGCAAGCTGGCCAACATCCTGTTCACCAGGGAACTTGCCAAGAGAACTGAAGGTAAGAAAAGTAAGCTACCACTATATATTTTTTTCAACCTCTTGTCTGTTCTTTAGCGTCATTGTGGCTTTCTTGTGCATGAAAATCTGACACGGACAGAATTTCTTGCCAATGTGAGAGTCTCATGTTCAAACCACATCTGCTCTGGGCAACAAGAAGAACGAAGAAAGACAAGTCTTTTAAAATAAACTAAAGATTATCTGACCACGCTTTGCTTGTGAGAAAAAATAGATACAAAAACATTGCAGAGGGAGGGAGGTACAGTAATTTTACTTGTTTTTTATGGTCTGTATTATCATTGTACCATGGGGATACAACGAAACTGAGCCTCTGCTTTTAACCTATCACAAACGTGAGCAGTGGGCAGCTTTAAGTGCCCGGGGAGCAATGTGTGGGGACGGTGCAATGTGCATATTAAATAAAGTTGTTCAATCAACAAATATATGCAACAAAAAAAAACCCATTCAAGTCATTCATTATTTTCTTGTTCATTTCAAAACCGTCTGCTGCTTCTTTCACCTTCCTTCCTCAGCACTAGGTGTGACTGTCTATTCAGTGGACCCAGGGATGGTTAACACTGACATTACCAGGCACATCAGGCGCCCTCTTGTGGACGTATTTAAGCGCTTCAGTACGCTGCTGAAGACCCCAGCAGAGGGCGCTTGCACCACCATTTACTGCATCGTCTCCCCTGAGAACCAACTGCTCACTGGAGGTCACTACAAGTCAGTATGACGTTTAAGCCCAGTCCACGTGTATCATTTTTTTTAACTTACATTTACACGTATTCAATATAAAGACATGTCATCCAAACACGGCAGACCGGTGCATTATACAGACTACATCCAGGAATAACAATAATAATAACAACAAACTTAAATTTGTTTTTTTCCTTGCAGGGAGTGTGCCACCTCCCAGGTCTGCAGAGCAGGTCTGGATGATGGCACCGCCCTGAAGCTCTGGGCAGTGAGCTGCCACCTTCTCGGAATCTGCTGGAGATAAACTTTAAGGCTATGGATTATTATCACATCCATTATATTCTCTAGTACCTACAATATTTTAAACTGCACGTTTTAGATAACAATGTTTTCTAATATAGCAAAGCAATGTCGAGTATAATTTTGTATTGCATTATTTAACGATTAATCAAATAATTATAGCAGCTCGAGTGCTAATTGTGTTTATAGCCACTGAAAATAAACAGTTGTCAACCTGTATTCTGGTGTGAGCTGAATAGGGAACTGGGGAGCAGAAGGGGCCTCCCTCCTGTCACCCTACCTCCAAGTTATGAATCAATTATGCGCCAGCGCTCGCTCCTGATTGGTCGAGTGCTCATATTGCCACAGGAGTCACGGTGGGGTGGGGAGACACAGCGAGAACCAAGTCCATTGATGAACTGTGGTGAGGGGAAAGGCGGTGTTTTGTTTAATTCCCACTCAAGTCCAACGGCGAATTTTTACTTACTGTGGATAAGAAATGCACTACAGGTAAGACGAAAGGAGGAAGAAACAACGAAGACGTAAACTGCGCAATAAAAATGTCCAAATTATAAGGAGGGTTAATAAGAGGAATGTGAGAAATGTGAAGGGGATTAACACAGGCTGCAGGTTTAACGCTGTGTTATGAGGGCTACCCATGTGAAAAGTGTGTCGTCTGTGCCATTAACAAAAGTTTAGTTTAGTTCATAGACTTACTAGTAGTAACTATTAGAAAGATAGTACCCGTGTTGATTATTGCTTGATCCACGCATCTTGCAGCACACGGGATAACAATTACTACTGTGTGTGTACTTTCATAGTGATTATCTGTCATAGTAAGCCGAATAGATCGTGCCATTTATGTTGTGCAACTTTTACTTTTAAGTCTACCGAACTAGGTTAAAAATATTTAAATATTTATGTATTTGTATACTACTGTAGTAGCTCAAACCTGAGCTGTATGAAGACAAACAAACCAAAGTATACAGTGAAATTATAATTGTGGGCTTATTGTACATTATAAAGTTGCTAAGATGCTTTAACTCAGTGGTCCGTTTTGGGTTTTTTTTTTGCACCACAAACCAGTTGTATACAAGGATCACTGGTAATTTTCTTTTATCTTCATTTTTTATTCTCTTCCTTAAGATTTATAATCACTCATTGTAAGGCCTTTCATTTTTTTTGTTTTTTTTTTTCAATCTGTGACTATGTCAAACACTGACAAGAGAGGACTGGAGTTATCATTTTCAAAATGTATCTTGCAGACTAATTCAGAAAATACATTTTTATATGAGATCTGATTCTTTCTGTGCGGTTACAGTCTCCCTGATTTTTGTGTTTCTGTTTTTTTGTTGTTGTTTTTTTTAGTGTGTGCTGTGATCGCTGGTCCTCTGACGAACGGCTGGATGGCAAAACAGTCATCATCACCGGAGCCAACACTGGTATAGGCAAAGAAACAGCCAGGGACCTGGCAAGAAGAGGTACTGCACTGGCTCTCTTCACCACTTACCCGTCTGTCTGTCCTCAACTCACCCCCGATGCGATGACTTACACATTCCAATCCTTTCAACTTGGGTGGTTCAACGCGATTGAATAGAGCATGACCTCTAACGTGACACTGCTCTTTGCCCACTGAGGCAGGTTTAATCTTGTTTGCATATTATTAGCATTGTGCTCACATATCTTAAAGATTTTAACAACAGCAAATTATACATGAATTTCAACCCAAATCGGACTTTCAATAAAAGTACATTGGCCATCACTTGGACAGACAAATACAAGTCAGACACGGGGGGGACACGGACGTCTTCCTGTCTGCCCTCTGTCGTCACGTTGCTTCTTCTGTCACGGGGACAGAGGGAGCATTGTGAGGGTCTGCACCCCTCCTGAGCCAGACGGGCAACAAAGACAGATGGGAGGGTTTCCCCGACAGAGCTCAGGCACACATGCACGTGCACATATGCAGTGACTGACAACGTGAGTATTATGAAAACTCAGATCTTGGAAAGATGTGTTGACAGACAACTGGCAGACAGTTTCAACAATCTGTTTCTAAATCTAACCACGTGAAATTACCATGTTGCATAAAAAAATTCCATAATAACGTCATTCTGATTAGATTTACTTTTATAAACACTTTTATTTTCTAAGTGTCTGAGCACGTTGGCGAGGGGAAACTTGCATGTATCTCTCACAATATCAGTGCAATGTTTTGTTTTAAAAAGTAGATATCGTATTTTAACGTCAGAAATCTGAACATAACAGATTGGTTATGTTTATGTTTTTCTTTGAATTCTCACTTTCATGATTTATTCCTGCAGCTCATAGGATATGCATGACAATGTGTAATTAATAATCTGCTGGGCTAACTTTAGCTCCACTCAAAATAACACTGCACTCTCGCTGCTCTCACTGTGCTGCTTTAACCAAATGACTGAACTTGACAACCAGGGAAATGTGGGAACAATTGGGTTTTCCCACACAGGAACAACAGCGTTGAAACAAAGACACTGGGATTGGATACAGACACCACGCTCCAACTGATTAATGATTCGCCTCATTCTTATTTTCTGAGCACAACGGCTATCTTGTGTGTGCGCGTGTGTGTGCATGTCCTCGATTCCCCTCTCTGGGCTCATTAAGGAAAATGCATTGTAATTTGCCTCGGAGGTGAATGACAATGAGGGGGTCGTGTGAGCGGTTGCCCAAATGAGAGTGAGTTTGGAAAACATCAGCAGATGATCAGAAATACGCCGGGAGATCTGGGCACTTCCTCTCTAATTGATGCGGGCATCACTGTATGCCTACAAATGAGCCAAACAATTGCAGTTTTGAGTTAGAGAGTCCTGGAAGGATTAAAAGTCTCTGTGGGGACAACGTTCACCTCCATATGTCAGTCAAGTTCGTATTAAAAAGTAGAGGAGGCGATCCAGATTTACAGCCTGATCAAGAAAACAGAAGTTTAAAAAATAACCTAATTACTGTTATGCAAAGCAGGAGGTGTTTGATTTGAATCCCAATTCAAAGAGTGCTTTACTGTTTGGAATTTGCATTTTCTTTGTGTCTGTGAGGAACTTCTTCAGATTTTTACTATAACCCAAGGATATTTATGTAGCTGCCTTTGTCACAGACTCAGTGGTTATGGTCTGCTTTTTGCCAAAAAACAAAAACAAAAACAAAAAAACCTCCTGTTTGCCTCAAAGGATATAAAGTAAAAATTGAACTTTCCTATTAAGTATAATTATCACTTAGCTGTCTCTTGTAATTTTTCTTCAGGTGCACGTATCATCATGGCCTGCAGAGACCTGGAAAGAGCCACGGAGGCTCGGGAAGACATTTTGGAAGACACCGGAAATGAGAATATCGTTATTAGGAAACTAGATTTGTCAGACACTAAGTCCATCAGAGCATTTGCAGAGGTTATAATCAAAGGTAGGCAAATAACTGTTGATGATTACACGTAAAAATGCAGGGTTTTTTTATGAATAATCTGATGTTGTTCTTAGAGGAGAAACAGGTGAATGTTCTGATAAACAACGCAGGCATCATGATGTGTCCTTACTCCAAGACTGCAGATGGGTTTGAACTGCAGTTGGGGGTCAATCATTTGGGTGAGTCATACTCTGCTGTACTGTACTGTAAATCTTATTTAGTTTTACTGACAGTGAGTTGTTTTTTTGATTGATCCGTTACATCAGCCAAGAGAACGAGCATCACTGTTTTCCTGACTGGACGATTTTTCCATAGGAACCTGTAAGATATTTTTGACACAGGCAAACAGAGACAAGAACAGGGTGTGCGTAATTATGGTCATCCACACAAATACACACACACATGCTAACGTACAGTGTACACATGTGAGTGTACATTTTACATCCTGTACATGCAAACGTGGCAATGTCATATAATGGTCAACAGGATACTTAGAACAATTGCACGGGAAGCAACACCCTTAGGACTGATGTTGAAAATATTTACATGTTGTTGTGTGGGATTCGCCACATCATATAAATGTTATCATAAACTTTCTGGCTCAAAAAAATGTTCATAATAAAATTATACGGGACACAACATCAGTTTTAATGGCGTCTTTCCCTTTCTGCACATGTTGCTACGTTGGCTGCGAGCTATAACCTGCAGTGAGACCTCGATGCGATGTCCGATGATGAGTTGGCAGTCTTCCAACCACGTGAGGACATGAAACAATGCGGACCATTCATTTTAGCACAATGATACAAAAAAGTATGTTTCTGTAAAGCAAATAAATACATAGGGCTGTACAGAAGTTCACGTCAGAACCACCATAGGCAAGATAAGATAGAAGAGTACTGTCAAAATGTGTTTACTGATATTATGAATGTTTTTTTTTCATTAGACATAAATCTAGCAAATTCTGTCCTTAAGTATTTCTCTAAGGTTCTACTGAGGTCTTTGTTCCTACCCGTTTGTATTACTTGCCTTATTTTCGTAATTTTGTATCTCAAGAACCTTTTTCAACCTTCTGAAATGTAACTATCTTTAAATGATATTTTCTGAGGGACTTAAATGTTTTTTTTTTTTTTACTTCTTTCCTTAGGTCACTTCTTGTTGACTCACTTGCTGCTGGACCTCATGAAACGCTCGGCACCGTCCCGTATTGTTGTTGTAGCATCAGTCGCTCACACCTGGACAGGACTTCGACTTGATGACATCAACAGTGAGAGGAGTTACGACACCATGAAGGCGTACGGTCAGAGCAAACTGGCTAACGTGATGTTCGCACGCTCACTTGCCAAACGTTTAAAAGGTGAGGATTCCTAGGGGTCAAGTATTTTAAAAATGTAATTGAAAATTAAATAAATGCAATTCTTAAGTTTCTTGTGTAATACGATGCTGTTTATGCTGGAGCAAGTGCTACATTAAAACACCATTTGTTAAATGGTAAACCATCTGTTAAAAAAATAGACTGATGTAACAAGTGCAAAGTTCAGATTACTTCAATACTGTAAGGCTTGCATAAGTGATTGCCTTCATTTAACTCTGTGGTAAGAGGCAACATCAGTGACTACGCTGGAAATGAGCCGTTTTGTTGTCTCTGTTTTATCCCCCCTCCGGCTTAATGGATGAGAACCAACGGAAATGACTTTAATTAAAAAGACTCTATAGTCTGTGGTTGATTCCATTTTATATGGAGCATTGATATCAAAGCTCAGCTTTAATACATTTAACTCCAACATATTAAACATTAATGGAAAAAAATATAAAAAACATATTTTTAAACATTGCATACTTACTTACTTACTTACTTACTTACAGTTTGTGTAAAAATACCAAGTGCTATTTTTATACCTGTGTGCTGAAGTGAATGTGTAGGTTGCTGTTGCAGGCACAGGGGTGAGTGTGTTCTCCTTACACCCCGGGGTGGTGCAGTCTGACCTGTGGAGGCACCAGAACCAGTGCATTCAGGTGGCTGTGAAGATTTTCAGAATTTTCACCAAGACGACAGTGGAGGGAGCACAGACATCCATCTACTGTGCTGTGGAGCCAGGACTAGAGAACCAGAGTGGAGGCTATTTTAGGTGAACACAGTATTAAACTGAATTTACTACAGATCCTGCAACGCTGCCACCATATAACACTGCTGATATTCAAATGTCATCTGTTTGTGGATGAACATTCTGTCTATCTAGAATACAAACATACAGATGTTTTCTGTCCTTGTTTGGTTTCAGTGACTGTGCCCCTGCAGGATGCTCGAGGACGGCCTCTGATGAAAATTTGGCTCAGAAACTGTGGGAAATCAGCTGCAACTTGCTTGGCGTCACTTGGCAGTAAATGGGTGAAACAAATGTGTAGTATCAGAGTGTTCTTCATAACAGCACTTACTGACAAAGAGGAAATAATATGTCCTTATTTTAAAACTCAGAGCACACTGTTCTCCAAACCTTAATCAATTTCTACCAAGGGCCTTTAGTCAGATTGAATATATGAAGCTAAAATAATGTTTAGACCACATCTGACGTTTCATTTATTGACATATAGAAGATAGGAAAAAAATATAAAAAACATATTTTTAGAAGATTAAGGTTTCCAGTAAGCTTATTTTTACCTCTTTATCTACTTGATAAAGTACTGTATGATAAACACCGTATTATTTTGTATAGATGTCCTGACTGTAGATGACATGAATCCACTCCTGTTTTGCACACATTACATTTTGAAACAGTACTTTCCCTCTGTTGCGTCACTAACCCCCCTCCATTCAGTTTTCTTTAACTGTGCTAGACTGATAAAGTGTCTTCACTTTAGCAGGGTGTACATATTGTAAACATCTGATCAATTAAATTGACTCTTCTTACATTTGAACTCTGAAGTGTTTATGTACATTTGTGTAGACAACACCAAGACTTTTTTGATGGAGATTTAGGAGCTTAGCCCTGCTGAGTGTTTTCAAAGTGAGACATCTGGAGTCTTTTAGTATAACCACTGACTCCCACTGAACTGACAAATAAGTTCGTCTAAATTAAAGCTGTAAAGGTATATGAAGAATGAATAATGCACAGTTAAGAACACTTTCATGTCCTAAATGTAAGTATTACTCGGTTTGTGGCACTGTGTGATAAATATAAGAATTAATGTAGATCAATAGAAAAAGGAGAATTCTATTTAGAGAGCCATTGTTAATCTCCATCACATGTAGTGGCATTTAAAATGAGAGGAATGCTGCAGGAGCTGGGGGAAGGTCTACGGGACTGTCGAGCAATTGCTCATATGAGAAATGCAAACTCTGGAGTGGTTTAAATACTTTACTATGTAAAACAAAAATTATTTTATGTTTTTTAAAATCAAGTCATGGTACATTGTGGGACCTCATACATGCAGCAAACACTAAGCCTTTACGTCATATGTAATTAACATTTATCTTCTATTTTAAACTTTTCCAACATTTTACGTTGTCTTGGTCCTTTGTCTCGATATACTCGCACGTTCACTAATACGGAAACCAAAAACAAACAAAAAACAAAACAAAACAAAAAACATTAAACTATTCCACTCCGAGTCTTTGGGTGGCAGTGTGTAAAATAAGTGCGGTTCCGCCGAAGGACGTAGTTTCTCTGAAACGCATGCGCATTTAAAGGCTACGTCATCTTTTCCCAACCAACGTTCTGTCTCAAACCTACGTGGCTCTCAAACCCGTCTGGACTTTCTCTCGAGACTCCCTCGAAATCAGGTAAACTCAGAATATATTTAAATATTTTGTTACTTTGTTTGCAGTTTTTTTACTACTACAGTCCTAAGTTCATATTGAGCTCAGGATTTAACTTCAGTCACTAGGATTTTAAGTGTTATTTGGCTCTAATACCATTTCCTAGCAGAGCTAGCTACCACCGAGAAACCATAACATGAAATCTGGAAGTGTTTGTTTTACAGACGTTTTTGTTGCTGTGTGTTTATTTGTAAAAATGTAACAAAGCCGATTGTGAACAGAAATGTGAACGGTTGTGCTTAAAATGTAACGTAGTAATCTTGAAAGCCTCGGTGCCGAAGTCAACGTCATCACTAAAAGTCGTCCAAGATTTAACACAGATTTTTGGATTCGCAGCCAAATCACAATGGATCAGGTGATGCAGTTTGTTGAACCCAGTCGGCAGTTCGTCAAGGACTCCATCAGACTCGTAAAAAGATGCACAAAACCTGACAGAAAAGGTATGATCAATGTACTCATACATTTGTTTTCCTATTACTTAAAATACAATCACAGGTTGTAAAAGGTGAGTGGTTTGATTGGTTGTTTCGCATTTTCACAGAATTCCAGAAAATTGCCATGGCCACAGCTATCGGTTTTGCCATCATGGGATTCATTGGCTTCTTTGTCAAACTCATCCACATTCCCATCAACAACATCATTGTGTAAGTAGCAGGAACACCTTCATATAGCATTTGAGAATAACATCAGAAACATTTGACAGTATGTTTAGTTATATTAATTCAAAAGACGTAGTACAGTCACTGAAAACTAGATTATTTATCTTTTGTGATAACTGTTACTGACTGTCTTTGCACCTTAAAGTTTCTCTCCTGTAATATTATCTGATGTTCTCACCACAAAAGTATACTTAGTTTTGATTGTCCTGTTAGAAATGTTTTGTAGATATATATAGTGGCAGACATTTATGACTTGCTCTACATTTATACTTTAACCGTAATGAGCTGAGTTTTTATAAAGCCCAGCAATTCCCTATTTCACTTTTGATTTTAAAAAAGAAATAAAAAAAAACATTATTATAAAATATACACAACACTAAATGCAGGTACAATTTGTCTGTTAGAATATAGACAGACAAATGTGAAGATGTTTTATCTCCCTGTAAAATATTTTAGATTTAGATATAATCATATCTTAGCCTGGTTTTGATTATTAGTTTTCTTGGTCAATTTTTAAACAATGTACTACTGTTATTCAAACTTATTTTGATTTCTTAAAATCCCTCATTCTGTCTTCGTCTGTTTTTTGTTTTCGTTTTGTTTTTTTAGTGGTGGATAATTCCTGATCAAGAACAAACAACGATTTCGGGTGTGGTGCTGTAAAGTGGTATTGGGCTAGGTTGGCATTTTTACATTTTGTGCACAACATTTCTACATTGCTGTGTAAATAAACCAAATTAAAACCCACATTGATATGTCGTCTTTACCTCAATGCAAAGGCATACAATTTATTTGTTTTAACAAAATTAAAGTACATTTTAAAGAAATGTGTTCTCACAATATAAGATATTTTAGAAATTGATTCAAATCAAAATTACATTGGAAAATGTGGCTGTAAAAGGCACATAATGAATGAACCAAGGACAATCTTTACACCTCTAAGCTGTGGTGGTACACAACATGTTGACTTGTCATCCTGCTTGTCTGTGAAACACTTTGACACTAAAGCTGCAACAATAATGTAAAAGCCCTCAGTCAACAGTGTGCACAGGAGAGGATAAAGGAGTCTTTTCCTAATCCTGTCACACTGCTGACAGCTGGACATTGTTCTACAGTAGAATTCCATTAAACATTTCATGTGTGATTTCTGATGGTTGCATTCATTCTTGTGGCTGTTGCTGTCTTGACAAAGGCTTACATTTCTTGGAAGAATTCTGTTTTTTCGTTTTTTTTTTGGGTTTTTTTTGGTAACCCTTGCTTTATAAGACAACAGTGTAAAATAAACATTCTATTTGTATAAAGGTGCCTATTTATGTCTAAATTCACAAGAGATGATCATTTTGAAAAAAAATGAATGTGATCATTATAGCATCCAAACATTCAAAACTAGCAGTTTTGAATGTTAGGATGCATTAATACATAATAGATGTTTAAAAAATACAAATTTCAGACGTGATCTTGGAAATTGCAGCATAATATTTTTTGTACATTCTTCTCAATTTCTATTTTACTGTTGATTGAGGTTTGTCTGGTGCGGTTTTGGGCTTAGATGATTGTTTTTTTTTTTTTTTTCTTTCATTCCTATTTCTTGCGAATGCCCATACTCCATAGTACTGGTCTGTCCGTGGTGACAGTGACAGGCTTCCGTGGGATTTCGGGTTCGACGGGCTCGTAGGTGTTGGAGGTGCTCACCAGCTTTCCAAACTCCAGGACTTCATTGTCTGCAAAGAGCAAACAAAATGTGGTTTAGAGAGGAATAAACAGCAGCCAGGTTTGAACTTGGTTTTAATTGCAGAAGGGAAGAGTGTATCTGTGTGTGTAGGCTGGGGGCCACACATTGCTTTAAGAAAAAAATAAATAAACGGAGGCCAGTGAGCTCACTTTGTGCTCACTGAAGTGTTCTAAATCCTAAAGAAGAGAATCCTTCAGCTGACACATTCAGCATTTAGCTACACAGTAAGTGACCCTTTAAAAGGGACCATTTTAGGCGTAATGTATAATTAAAATGCATTTTCAAATATAATTTCCATATGTATTGTATGCTAGCAGAGTTGCCAAAGTTGGTTTTATGTCACTCAGTGACATGAGGATTAATCTATTGGCCCTTGCGCCAAAATATTTAAAATGCATAAAAATACAACAGAGACACGCGATCTTTTTTCAGGCACAAGAAAACCAGATTTAAAAGAAATGGCGCTTGGTCAACACTGACCTCAAGTGGCCAAAGCAAGAAGCCCAGAACTAACTGTTAAATGGCATTGAACAGTCAGGACAGGTCACTTTCCCGTCCAGTTGACAGTATTATTAGTTTTCTTTACAAAGATACGTGCATATTTATTGCTGAAGATTTAGATTTTTTTTACATTGTACTTTTATATGGTGAACTGAATAATAAATGCATGTTCCTTCATACACTTTATTTCAAACTAGATTTAAAAAAAATCCCCCCAGAGTTACGAGACCCATAATTATACAAGCAGCTAACACCCAAACATCACACCTACCTCAAACCAGATAGACATGAAAAACAAGAATGAATATGTAAAAATGTAATAAATAAAATCACAGGGGAGAATATCAACACAACTGAACAAAGGAATAGGGGAATCATTTGTCCACAGGTGCCTACACCCGCACATCAAACAGACAGAAAGGCCATGTCTGCTTCAAAGAAGCCAAACAAGCATGGCATTAAGGCCGTTCGACTTCAAACAGGAAGAGAAATGGGCTCTTAAAAAGTTAAAGTACTACATTTGGAGCCGCAATTTTGTGGCCTGTGACAATTTGGACCGTGTCGCAATAAATTGCATTTTCAAATTGCCACTTGTTCACAGAAACAACATTCGTGGTCAAATTTAAACACTATTGCCACAGCTATATTGTGATATTTATATCTCAGCTGTTTTACTTTCACTGGTTCGACAGCTGGCTGCATAAACCATACACTGGAGTTAGTGGCGTTGCTGTAAAAATGTCAGAATTTTTTCTGCAGCCCAATGAGAAAAGCACGTTCAGTATATGCTGTACATTGGTGTGAAAATAGCTGCAGTAACAAAAGCTCCCACTAGAGGCATCAAGGCACAGCTGTAGGGGCAGTAGAAACCATGCTCAGCAGCAATTGTTGAGTGGCACGTACATCATCACATTCTCTTTCTTAAACACACACACACACACGCATAAACAGGGTTGCAAACTCTTTGCTGAACACAAAGGGCTTTCAGATGGCTTCATTAGTAATCCCCCCTTCAGAGCTGATATCGATCAATAACAGGGTGACCAAAACGAGCGTCACACCCTCCATTGATAACAATGGAGATGTTTGCTGCCTGTAATTGCATTTTCAGTGCCACAGCTGAAAGGGCCTGTCAGCTGTAAGTAGACCATATTTACACAACAAATTACCCCAGAGAGAGGGTGGGCAGGAGAGGACAAAACCTGCACACACTCGCAATGCAGTGGACAGTTAGTGGGGGAATTATGAGAGTTAAAAAGGACAGATTACATATTTTTAAGTATATATATATATATTTATATATATATATATATTTTTTTTAAGTGAGGTCATGTGGATTACTGCAGAAACAGAGGCCAACAGAGTGTCCCCAAAATGTAACAACAAAAAAACTAAAAAAAATTTACATCTAAAACAGGCATAAAAAAATTGACATCAGCCTCAGTCTGCCCAAGTTATATTGAGAAGCAGCTGTTGTGTCTTCTTAAATCACAATTATTTTTTATGGAGTTGAATAAAATATATTGATATTGATTGATATGTTGATGATTTACATTGATATGTTGATTATTAACATTTTAAGAAACACGAGCCACCCAGTAGGTGGCAGTAAAGAAACCCAAAGAAGAGTTGCCCTGAAACCATAAAAATAAGTGAAGAAGGGTGTAGGCAGGATCAGTGGGCCTCTGGGAATACTGTACTATATTGGAGAATTACAAGCAAAATTATGATCATTTAATTTCTCAGTTTAAGCTAAAATCCATTTGTCTAGTCTCTGTTATAAAAAAAACCCCACAATGTCTTAAAACTTCAGGGTTTATTTTAATATAAATGTGCTTTTGTAGCAACTGTTAAAATGGCTTGTCTGCTTTGATTTGATTTGTTTATTTCACATAGTTGCCATATTTTCTGAACTGGAGAAAAATCTTTAGATGGTGTTGTAAAATCTGTAGAGGCAGTAGAATATTACAGGACATTTTGCTAATAATTTGCAACTAAGGACACACTGACTCAGAGCTAATCAGTACACACTCACACATTAACATCAACAGAGCTCCAGAGATCCTGTCTTCACTCTCACAACAGTGTGAGTTGAATACAGCGAGGTTTCATTGTTTGATGGGGAAACTCATTTCCCCTGATGTTTGTTCACTACTTACCTGTCCAATTTACGGAAAGGAGTTAAATAAGCAATTATGGCTCACAAGCAGTAGTGAAGTTGCTGCAACATATTAAAAAAGCACTGATGAGGCACGACACAAAGTCCAAACTTAGACCATGAGAACATTCACTGTTGGAATAACTTCAAAAGCTAAAATGCTGAAATCACAACGAAGGTCTCGGAGAAGATTAATTAGACAAAACCAACACACTGCAGCAGAAGATGACAGTGTCGATTTTGCCACATTGTAAGTCCTCAAAAATATTGCAGTACTTTTGCTGATTGGAAAACCTGAATTGGCATTTTCTTTCAAAAGTTTGTCGTTGGGTTGTTTGGTAAGAACTTTGCTTGACTGGCAGATTTCACTGCAGCCTAAATAAACAGTATTAACCTGGCTTAATGTCCTAGGTGTGAAATTACTTGAATGCAGTCTTACAACCCTAATAAAGAGGCCATGCAGGGAGGCGGCCGGTCGACCTGTTCTTCAGTCATATCGGTCTCTGAATCCCAATTGTGTCCAATTAAACCAAGTAAGACTACTAAAATCACTCATAATATGATATGTCGTAGATAATTTGGAATTCACATCTTGCCCAAGGTCACTTAGACATGGATGAGTGAAAGATCGAACCACCAACCCATCCATCCCCCCGAGTGCCAATCAATGTGGCTCTTCATAAAATTAGCCCATCTTTTCTCGTCTTAAACTGCAGGCTATGGCAAGCGCAATAACTTGCAATTGAGCAGCAGAACCACCGATGATTGCTCTTTATGTTTTATAGTAGGACATGGTCCGAGAGGTGATACTCAGTATGGCTCTGGTGCATCATCAAATGCTAATATAGTTACAAAACTGCTCCCACACTGTTTAAGAAAAGTCGAGGCACTTGGTTTTGCCCATTGGCAACTTAAAAATCAATGAGGTGTGCTTAGGTGTGTTGCTACGCTTAAGGCAGTCGTAATCCTTGTTTCTTTAGACCAACAGTATTCTGGTACAGTACTGCAGTATTTAAGACAAGTACACAAAGTACACACATTAGTAGTTAACTTTCATCCTTACACTCTCAGTTTGACTCTAGCAGTGTGTTCTTTTGATCAGAGGTTATGCGATCCCTTAAGGCACTTTTTTTTATTTTCTTTGAGACACGCTACATATTTTACATTTTAAAAATCCCACAGCACACTATCAAACAAAAATTGTGAAAAAAAATAATATAATAAAGTATATGTCAAACATTAAACTACATTTACATTTCTGTTTATCCAAGCCCGACTTTAAATACACTGTGTGAGTTACATGTGGTTCAATAACTGTGACAGTGACTGCATGTGTGGACTCTTCCTCCACCTCCAAGTTAGTCTGCAGCTCAGCTGGAGATACAAGCAGCCTTTCATGTCAGGCTGCACCGCTTTCTCTATCACGCTCTTTGCAATGTGCACAGTGTCAGAAATCTATAGATCCATAAATAAAAGTACAAAACTGCAGTCCGTCCCCGCCTTCCCCTGCTGTCACACTGCAATACTACAGAATACATACACTTTCAATTCCCTTTCCTTGAGACCTGGCTAAGCTGGAGTACAGGAGAGAGAGAGTGGGATGTAGAAGAAAAGAGAGAATTAGAATAGGGTATAGACATGGTAGGAGGACGGAGGGGGGTGGCAGGTGTAGCAGAGGGGAGAGAGGGAGGGAGAGCATGTGTTGAAAAAGGATATAAAAGATAAGCAAGAGAAAAGCAGGGGGAGAATAAATTCTTCAAACAAAAACACCAGCTGCGTACATGACAATAAAAGCACAGAGAGGCGAGTTTAAAAAAAAAAGAAGAAAGGAAAAGACTTGAAGGTCAGAGCGTGTTATTGCATCCTAAGAAACTCAACAAAAATGAGAGCTTTTACAGTAGGGCTGTCTGCTTTGCCAAGGACACTTAGCATAGCATCAGGTTTGACGGACACATCTTTATTTGATCAATTTGATAAACTCAAAATCTTTTTTTCGACTTTCTTTAAGGGCAATTGGTTCTTGTACTGAGAAAGCTTTTCAAATACTGACACCTCAGGCTTTTAGAAATACTTTTAGAGAATCAATATTAAAATATATTTTTTATATTTATATATATTTTTTTATTTTGCCAGTTGTGTCTTTAAAACAGTCGACAAAAATTGAACTACTCATTAACTTACTCTGTTGCAGTAATGAGTATTGGTTAATTTGTCTTCATTTTACTGCATGTCTTAGATTTCTGTTTGTCCTTACTGCATGTTTAAGTCTGGAACGTAATGATAAAAACAAAACACGTGGCTCATGTTAACATTGCCATTTCTTATTCTCG